GCAAGAAGTAGCCAGGAATCGTTCAGGGGGTGCTTTCACTTTACAGCTGGGCTGTTATTAAGGCTTGCTGCTATTCAAGGGATTAGTTCTGCTCCTGCCATGCTTGCTTGGGGTCTTCTGCCAGCTCTGATGCCTCTCTTCTTGCCCTTCATCTGCATGATTCAACCTGCTAAACTGACAGCATCCCTAACAAAAAAGTCAAACTTCTTCCTTGTTTTCTCCCTCTTTTCTTTTTGGTATTAGTTTTTGCCCATTGGTGGACTGAACCTGGTCACTGAATGGTTACAGAAATACTAAAGGAGATGGAGCATACTCCTGGGAGGAGGGGGGAAAACAACTCTGCCTGTTTCAACAGAAGTCAGATATCAGCTAAAATGTAACAAAATCTCATATTTTGAACGTTTTAGCTGAGATAGTTGTTCCAGCCCTAAAGGCTGGAACTGTCATAGATTTTAGATAAAGGTGGAAATACTGAGTTACTCTAGGACTTCAGATAATAAACACCTTGATATTTATCGGCCTAAGTGCCCATATGAATCTCTTTAATTTCTAGACATTAATAATTACTAAAATAGTGTATATTACACAGAGTTGCAACATAAATTAACATAATAAACACATTACTTTATAACAGCCGCTTATGAAATAGTCTGGCACACACTGCCAAATAAGTGGATTACATCAGCTTCATGGGCTATGTGAAATGTTTTGCTCAAGTAACGTTATTTAACTTCTTAACTTCTCTTTTCACTTTCCATCATTGAAAAATGAAAAAAATACTTGTAATTATGCATTAATGATGCATTAATGATCTCTGGATGCTGTTTATTTTGCATAGGTTTTTTTTTTGGGGGGGGGGGGTGGGTTGTGCTTTTTTCCCCTACCTTTTGCCTATTATGCCTCTTTTGTTGTGTTTCTATCATTGCTGCTTTAGGTCCAAGCAGGATTCACCAGGCACAGCTCTTTTGAAGTCTCTGATTATTATCTGTGTGGGATTTTCCTGTTCTGTTTCCAGACATGCTCTTTTGAAACAATGTGTTAGTTCCTTGTTAATCATGCTTAGAATTATGTTTGCTTTTAAATGATAGATGTCATAAGTTTCTTAAAGCAAAGCTTCTTTTTGACTTTGAGGTGTCAGATATGTTGTAAAGGCCATAAGAATTCTCAAATAAACACTTCTGATTTTTGCCTTATCACTGTAGTATAAGAGAAAGACAAAAAAATGCTGCTTCATGAGCCAGGGTTTTACTGCTTTATGGTGACAGATAATGGTAATATTTACTACTTACGAGCTATGCACATAAATCTACATATTTATGTAGTGATGAATACAGTAAAATATTGTGGCATTCCTACTTAGAACATAATTGCCATGTATATTAACACAGATCTGGATGTCATAGAAAGTGAGCCAAAAATAAATTTTTTACCAAATTGATTCAGTACTATGGGATTATTTTAAGAAGCTGTAATAAGGGATGTTCTTGAGAAATAGACTGATATATTTCTGTTTATATGTAATGACAATATAAAGGTGATAAGCAGTGTCATTCTTACAGCTGATTACATGCTGCAAAGGTAGCTGTAGATCTTGTACTAAAATTCTGATGTGTATTAATAGCTCTGTTCTTTAGAGTCAAAGCAGATAGAAAATTGAATTAGAAAAAGTTCTGCTAAACTTGGTTTACTCTTTTCTAAAACTTTGCATGTCTCTTCCACCTTGCTCTATCATGTCTCCTTTTCCATTTTCAATTTATCTCAGCCTAGATACACCAAACCTTAAATGAAATGAGTGTTTTTCTTTTCTCTACCTTAACGCCTGCCTGTCATCACACCACCTGCCCCAAGTTTGGAGCATTTGCATTGTTTACGTGGTTGGTTTTGAAAGCTGCTCTCGTGATCTGTTCTCCATCCAGCATTGCGCCCTTGTACCTTATTCCCCTGATGTTGCTGCCTTCTTGTTGTCTGTGCACCACCCTTCCCCCGTGAAGGATCCCCACGCTCTTGCTGTGGGCTCCCTTTGCTTGTTGAGGTGTAATGGTGCTGTGGCAAGCCCAGCACCCAAATGCTCTTGTCGGCCCTCTGCAGGTGTGAGCATGCTGGGAACTCTTGGGTTTGGGAGCAGTTTCAGGAACTCCTTGTCTTCTCCAGCCACAAGTCCTTGGGAGGACTTGATGGTTGTAAACCTGAGCACAGAGAGCGCTGCCTTGTGATGAGCGCTGGCCCAGGAGACCTCGCCTACAAGTGCATCAGAGACTGTGCAACGGGCAACTTGAGCAAGACTGTTCAGAACATCACAAGATTTACAGATTTACCAGCAAGATGTCCAGGTAACAGTGATGGTCTTAATGCTGAAATGAGGGGTGGGAATGTTGAGGATGTGTTTTCTATGGATGTATGTACAGGTTGAAATCAGACTTTAAATCTTATTGGATAGTTATAATGGTGATAGCAGCACTTCTAAACACATGCCAGAGCTTTCCATTTTATTGATGTGCAAAGCAAAATGCGAGGGTTTTTTTAAGGTTCTGACCCAATCCCTTTCCATCTGTATGGACCTGTTTCTCAGGAAAGATACTTACGGGATGTGGCAGAATTGTTATTTAGTTTGGGTTTTTTAGATCACAAAATCTACTGCTGTACTAAAGGAAGGGCTAGTAATGAGAAAGGATCAATTGACAAGAGAGGGTGATTGCTAGTGTTGAGGAGGGAAAATGTACGTGCTGCTCTCAGGGTTTTCTTAAAACAGTTTCTTTCAGCATGTTCTCTAATGACCTTGAAGGGTGAGGTTAATTTGATATTGATCAGATTAACGAATGTAAAATCTGGTAAATAAAAGCAATTAATTGAAAATAGTGAGGAGGTTGAATAAAAGTAAGGGGAGCTTTAACATTTGGAAGAACAAGAGTCTACAGAACTGCTGATGTTCCTGAAGTTATGCGAGAACTTGTGACTCCTTGTTACTTGCTAGAGAGAACTTTGATTCCAGGGGCCTCTTGTGCTTCAGCATTTGATGCTGTTCACACTGAACCAACCACTGAAGCACAGCAGAAAATAAGGTCTTGTCTCCCAGGATTTCTAGCTGGATTGCAAGCACACAGACTTTCTTTAGAGGCTTGTATTTAATTAGTCCTAACATGGCCCAGGAAAGTACAGGAGATTTTGAGCTCGCTGTCAATGTTACGTTAAAGTACATGTGTGTCTTGTGACACGTTTATGTTACTGAAAGAGGTAGAAGGATGTTGAGATTTAACAGATCTGTTTCTGAGCCTTGGCTACAGACTTGGGGATCAGACACATGAGTGTCCCTGAGTTTAGTATTAGTGTTGGTCCTTGTCTCTGACCTTCATGGCAAAATATTCTGCCTTCTTTCTAAAGATGTGCAGTGTCAGTGCAGGATATGGGACACCTGCACATCCTCATTTCCTTGATTCATGCAAATCCTGATTCATTCCTGATGAGCACATATTTCCACAGATGCTGACAGGTCATGAGAGTAAACCTAGCAGCACACCCCATGTGCTCAGAATTCATGATCCTCATCTCTTCCAAAACAAACCCGGTAGTCTGTTCTTTACAGCACCTTGTGTTCTGGGAGGTGCTGGGGTTTATGGAAAGCTTCACAGTCCTAGCAGGGAAGCTCCAGTTTGCATTGTGCACTAACATCTTGAGTAGAGGCTTTAGGCAGATGCTTTTTCCTACTGTTGCTACTTATTCTGTCCTTTACATATAAATGAGAAGACATGAGAAAATCAGCAAGTGAGCCCAGGCACCAGGCCGTTTGCTTTCATGCAGTGGGCAGAGAGAGAAAATGAAGTAGTGTTAACTGCCTACCTCACTGCCTCCTTCAGCCCATTCTCATCCCATGAGTCCACTGAAAAGCCTCTCACATTTCTGTACTAGAAATAACATTAGCAGGGAAAAAAACCCAACCACACTCCACTTCACATACTGCAGCTGTATCATCTTTTCCCAGGTGCCCGTGTTGCTTTTACGAAAAATAATAGAAACAATAGAGGGGAAAGACAGAGCACAAACAATTCCCACTCTTCCCCTTGAAGTGAGCAGTTTAAAAATGGGCTTATTTTGTTAGAATTCAGGGTAAATGCTTTTCAATAGATGAGGGATACTTTAGCTCAGTTCCAATGGACTCCACCAAATCAACCTCCCACCCAATTCAATTAATTCCCTTCCCCCTGTGTGTAAGGAACAAGGTTTGGATATAAAAACACTAAATGTAAGATTAAAATGTCTACAGAGATGATCAGAAGGGAGTCTATTTTAATAACCCTCTCAGATTGCTGTGCATGAGATGTGGAAATAGGAGGTTTAATCTCAGTGCAGTGCCTTTACAATTATAATCAGAACTGAGCTGAGTATTGGTCAATAGGAAATTTGCTCCTCAGGGTAGGGAGAGGACTGTAACAAGAATTAAGTCTCAGGATGTTAGTGAAGGAAACCATCTGAAAAGAATAATCAACTGCAGTGGTATAGATCTGAGGTTCCCAGAAAGAATTGTTCAAAAGTAAACAAAAACCCAGAGCAAGAAACGGCAGAAAATTCACAGAGACTAAGATGATCATTGTGCAAGCACGAGAGAAACACAAGTTCCAAGTGCCTGGTGCTTTCCTTTGGTGATTTTCTTGCTTTAAGATATTTACAGCTGGCGTCAGTGTAAAAGGAAGAAATTGTTCAGTCTATCCTTATGCCCAAGATTGGTTCCTGTTGATTTCTTTGAAGGCAGGGAGGCCCTGCAAGAGAGAGGGCTGGGCAATCACCAGCCATAGGAAGTTCTACAAGGGAAAGTGCTGGGCTCAGCACCTGGGATGGGGCAGCCCTGGGTGTACAGACAGACTGGGGAATGAGAGGCTGGACAGCAGAAAGGGGCCAAGGAAGGGGCCTGGGGGACCTGGTCAAGGGAAAGTTGAACATGAGCCAGCAGTGGCCTGGCAGGAGGGACACCCCTGTCCTGGGGACATCAGGGACAGCACGGCCAGCCCAGCAAGGGAGGGGATTGTCCCGCTCTGCTCGGAGCTGGGGTGGCCTCACCTCAAGGGCTGGGGGCAGTTCTGGGTGCCACAATAGAAAAAAGACATCAAGCTGTTAGGGAGGGTCCAAAGGAGGGCAGCAAGGATGGTGAAGGCTCCAGAAAGGAAACTGTATGAGGAGTGGCTGAGGTCACTTGGTCTGTTCAGCCTGGAGAAAAGGAGACTGAGGGGAGACCTCACTGCAGTTACAGCTTCCTTGTGAGGGGAAGAGGAGGGGCAGACACTCATCTCGTCTGTGGTGACAGTGATAGGACCTGAGGAAATGGACTGAAGTTGTGTCTTGGGAGGTTTAGGTTGGATATCAGGAAAAGGTTCTTCACCCAGAGGGTGTTTGGGCAGTGGAACAGGCTCCCCAGGGAAGTGGTCACAGCAGCAGCCTGGCAGAGGACAAGAAGCTGTTAGCACTGTCAGGCACAGGGTGTGACTCGTGGGGGGTCCCATGCAGGGCCAGGAGTTTAATGACCCTGTGGGTGCCTTCCAAATCAGCATATTCTGTGATTCATACTCAAAACAGGAAATGGTTTTAGCAAAAGGCACTTCACAAAAATTTTTTCTGGAATTACAGCACATATTCATGAAAATGTTTGCATTTCTTCAGGTTCTGACCACCTATTAGAATTTCAAATTTTCCTGTCAGTGTGTAAATATTAACAAGTCAGGATACTTTTAATGCCAAGGCAGTTTAATGTGAGGGCAAGCTATTGCCTTAATACTTTTTAAAGTTGAAGATTTTCTAATATCAGCCATTAATCACAATTGTTAGTCCCCCATGATTTAAATAGTGCAGTAGAGGTGTCCATTTCTTATGCAGAAGAAGTAGAATGTACAATGTGGAGTTTCCTTAAGTCAAATCTTAGGCACATGATATGATACTTGAAATTACCACTTCAATTTAAAAGTGAATCTTGTTTCAAAGAGTTGACAGTTATGATGTCTTTTCAATATATTTATCACTGCTTCTGAATAATGAAATTACAGGACTCAAGGAAGTGGGATCAGGCCTCATCTTTGAAAACTGTCTCTGCTGGGGAAAAGTCTGGCAAGGCCAACAGCAGCCAGGTAACCCTGTCAGTCATACCACATCAGCCTGGGATTGCCTAGGAAAATATGTCAGAAATACCAGCCTGGGGCACAGAAATCAGCAAAACTGGCACCAGTGGGGGAAAAAGTCATTGGAGGTAGATTGTTTATTTTGTGTGAGGGTAAGGCAGATAAAACAAGGTCAAATAATGGGTAGAGGTATGGTGAGGTATGCCTAGATATGCAAAACTCTCTATTTTACTGAAAACTGCAGGAATCACCTCCATATATAGGAGCAAGATATAGCAAAAAACTTGTAAAATTGAATATAAAATTAATATTCTGGAGTGAACATAATCTAATTATTTGGGAGTTCAGATGAAAGTGATGCTAGTTCTTCTTAAAAACAGCACTGATGCTCTGGAAATCTTGAACAAGCTATTGAGGTTACAAGCAATTTTTTTTCTTTTTAAATTTTGCTTCCAGTGCAAATGCATATGGTGCCACTGTGTCTCAAGCAATAAATAAGCAGATATCAGAAATGTAGCCTGTGTTTGACACTGCTTGAGCTGCCTCTGCCTGCCCAGAGTCTGAAGCTGCAGCACATTTCCATGGTGCCTACCTGAGTCAGAGCACCAGCTTGAAATAGCACTGAGAGGCTGGGGAGTGTCACAGTGCCATCAGCCTCGCCCATGTGCCCACCAGAGCTTATCTCCCTTCTTCAGACAAGAGATCAGACCTGTGCTCCTGAGAGGGAGGAAAGGCCTGAGCTATACTCTCAGTCATTCTGACTGTCCCAGGTAGATTATTTGGATGATTGCAGGATCATTTGGTGACTTTCTCTCATAAGGTATCTTTGAACCTAGCCTGCCTTAATCTAGTCCTGAATAGAAGTTAATTTAGAGCTATTCAGAAACTAATTTAGAGAGGTTTACTGAGCTCTCTTCAAGAGAGCAGTCTTTTAGGATTCCATTTCTAAATCGTGATTTTTCTTTTTACTGTGGTTTCCAGGCTCTGCATCAGGGAAAAATATCTTGGTTACTATTGCAGGACACGAGATGGTGGTTAATGGTAGTTATGTTATCTTTTAAGAAGTGCTGAATTCTTCTTGAAACACTGATGATACCTTTAAACAGCATATGTGGCACACCTGTGTGGCTCTTAACCCCACTAGTACAGACAGGGACACCAACAGCAGCTTGCAGTGACCCCTGAATTGCAGCTAACACCCAGTTTTCTCTATTTTTTCCCAGGAATCTCACTGCTGCCATTCTCGTTACATGCATCCTACCAACTGTCATCTTGCCACCAAACAATCTCCTGAGGCCCAGTGATGCTGTTCAGATGAATCCCTGGCCGCCTTGCACCTGGTCCTGCAGTCTCCTGGAGAACACATGGGTATGAACAACATGTCCTAGGAGGATAACAGGAGATGGTTTACCTAGAGAGGTAACCACATACTGTCTAAGAAACCTCAGTATTTCCAACAACAAACCTAGAAGCAGCCAGCACTGGGTTTTCTGGAACACTTTTAATGCGTTTGAATTGCCAGTTGTCTGAAGACTTTGGATGAACCTCATTCTAAACTTCAGGCTCTTGTGTCTTGAGGCCGTCAGATGTATGAGGTGCTGAAGAGATTGAGCAGCAAACACATTTGAGGCCATGCAAGCACCACAGAATTGGCTCCTGGTCTGCATGTTGTCCATCTGACATAGATTTGTTTTGAGAGAAATAATTGGCCTTTGGCCAATTTATTGTATTTCTGATGGGTTCAGAACAAGGACCATAAAGCATGAATTGTGGGGCAGTGTAAAAACAGGCAGAGATTAGTGTCCCCTGTTGCTAACTGATTACCAAAAAAACCCTTTGGGGGCATTGTGGAGACTCCTGCTCTGGAGGATTAATGTATTATCTTGGTGGTGCATCAGTGTTTTCTGACTGAAATGACTCCAAAACAATAATTCTTTAGGTAATAGAGGGTAAGAGCAGGAAGGATACAGGTGAACCTGAAGGAGGTGAGCTTTAGGGCTTCCCCCCTAAATCTGAAATGTGGCACCAAGGCACCCAGGTGAGCACTCACCTGCTGCTTCACTTGCAAGACAAACATGCAGCTTAGCCCAGGGCACCGCCCTTGCTCAGAGCTCTTCTCCACTTCAGCTGAATTGTATCCAGCACCTGATCCCACCTGTGCAAACAGGGCATGACCTATTGATGGCGTGGTTTGCATTGACCTTAAACTGAGGTATTTTAATTCATATTTAGCATAAAGAAGAAGTAAGACCTTCAGTGTTCACATGGTACACCTTTCTGTGCCCATGCAACCCAGTCTAAGGTCTGCCCCTAAATTCCAGCTGGTTGTCGGAGTTCAGGATTTTCCTGAGGTGTCAGGTTGGGAGTCCTGTTTTCAGAGAGAACTTTTGAAAAAATTGTGGTTGGTGGAGAAGTTAACTTGGGTTGAGATGTTTTCTTTTTGTTATTCCTTCCAGTCAGATTACTAAATTGATTAAAAAGCTGTTTTTAAAACAGAGAATTACTCAGCCTTTTGTAGTTCCTTTTACAAGAAAAACGTGCTCAATAGAAAGGAGCCTAAGGTTTGCAGTAGAGAGAGATAGCCCTGTAATCTTTGTGTCTATGTGTGGGAAGTACTTGAAAATTGCCTCCTACAGACAGATTAGTGAATTGTTGGGAGAGGAAAGTTTCTTAAAAATTACGCTTTGCATAAACTTTAAATTGCAGAAAACATCTACTTTCCTGTTATCTCCATTATTTATGTACTATCTGAAACAAATGTCAGGCTGACACCTCACAAATTGTTTGCTACTGATTCTCCTATTACTTTACAGATGTTCCAAAAGTTTTCACACCAGCTTCTCAGAAAATATCCAAAGATGAGAGCAGGTTTCATTCTGTAGCATCATTGTTTTGGCAGGTATGAAGAAAGTTGAGTGGGCTGATCACGTGCTTCCCATCTGTCAGCTCATCACTCTTAATAGGTGCTTGAAGGAAAATTGCAGTTATTTCACACAGCACTGGAAGCTGAAAGTTCATATGTCAAGAAAAGATGGACATGGAAATAACAGACTTTTTTATCTACAAAAGACATCCCTGTGCTGCCCTGTTGGGGGTAGTTATCTTTTGTGCACTTGTGATCTTGGTCTAATACGGATTTGCTGATGCTCACTGAAAAGGACATTACCCACAGTCTGGGCCTGTCTTCCTCAAGACACTGAAATATAAAACAGGATTTTTTCAGTAGCGCTGAAGTCACCCTAAAGGCTGACAGAGAACTACAGTGAGAGGTTTTCCTGATCCCTGGAACTATAGCTCATTCCTGAGTGCCAGCTATTGCTGCCTCTCTCCCAGCTGCTGTGTGTATTGCTGCTTCTTGCCCACAGAGGTAAGGGCACAGCAGTTTCACAGGAGCAGGTCCATATATCTACCATGGATAAAAGTTCCTCCCAGCGCATATTGGACTCTATACCTTTAGTGGTTTTAATGACTAAACCATAAAATGTTCTTCTCTTGCTTGTTTGAAACCCATTCTAACAACCCAGTCAAACTGCCCACATCTGTGGCTTCCTGGGCTGCAATTTATCTGGGATGATAAATACAGAAAGCTGTGCTTAACCTGGATTAGAGGCATCCTGCAGTGTTGGAAACAGCTCAGTGCTTGCAGCTTTGGGTACAGCATGTTACAGCGTGACGGTGGCATGGCTGAGTTGTTAAAATGGTCAGTTTGCCATTTGTAGTGCATCAGTCAAATAAAACTTGTCTTGCTATTGGTTGTTAACAGCAGCTAAGCAAGCTCTTCAGTGTGATTCATCTCCCCTAAATTTAGCTGCCTAAATATTAGGCATCTCATCTGAACCAGTCATCTACCGTAGTCTCAAAATTAGTCATCAGAGATAAGCAGCTCAACAGTACCTGTGTCAAGAGAGGGTTCTGGCAGAGCTAGGGAGTTAACTCATTTCTGGAGTAACTGTTTTTCTCCACTCTTTCTGACTTCATTTAGTGACTTTTGACAGCAAGGCAAGGGAAGCTCTCTTCTTTGTTCTGTTTTCCAAAAGTATCTTTTCAGTTTCAGCTATCAATAGCCTTCCTTTTGATTATTAAAAATGTCTTTGTGTGTGAAACACCACCTGGATTTGCTGCCCTGATTTTTAGTTATTGTCTCTCATTTTCTTGTTGTTTCTCCTGATTGTGAATTAGAATAATTTCCAAGGTTGGATGAAAATAAATGTTCTTTATTCTTTATTTAAACACATTTTTTTCCAGTAATCAATAGCACAACTGGAACTCTGGGTTTCAATGCTTTCTCCTTAAAAACATAGATCAGAGTGTTGTGAAGCTATACATCTTCCCTGTCAAACATTTAATTTATTGTGCTGTTCATTTATAGCTAGAGACTAGAGAACTATTGGTTGACAAAAGAGGATGGATGACTCTTTTATTGAGTCCTTATACAGCTGGCAGAAGATAGAGCAAATGGAGGAAGATTTGCAACACTCATTTCCAACTTCTAATAAATTGTGGATGGATCACAAGGAATTTATGCTAACTTAAATATATTTCCAAAGGATCAGGAATTGGCAATCATTTGTCTCCTTCACTGTGTTTAAACTTGAGCATCAGAAAGCAGGTTAAGAAGAATCTTCAATAGTGGTTCACAACAGCTAATGTGGCTATAGACAAATAAACAGCACAATCCATTTCTAACTCAGTTATGGCTATTGCTTTATCCCTCTGAAGCTAAAGCAATATTAGCATCCGAACAGTTCTTGTTTAGTGTTATTTATCCCATTATATGTCAGCTCTCCTTGTCAAGTGAGGGTTTTATGGTGGTGGCCAAGTGATTTCAGTACTTCTCTGGGGCTTACTTTGTTGGGGTGTGCCCAGGAGGGTCCTGCTGGGGAATTGCTCTGAGCCCCAGTGCTGCTGCTGCTGCTGCCTCAGACTGTGGTTATGAGGCACTGGGCATCCCTCAGCCACCACTCCTACAATTGTCTTCCTTTGATCATTTTGATGTACACAGAAATCTCACCATGGCAGAAAAATACAGAAGCTTATTGGTTTGAGCTAATAATTTCCTGGGTTTAATATATGTCTGGGTTTTTGCAGTATCAAGTTGTAGGTTTTATCTTCAGTGTTGGGGACCTTTGTCACTCTGCTCCTTTGCTTTTTCTTAGCATATCTGAACCCATCTTTCTCGCTATCTCTAATGATGTTCCAGAAGAATTTTTTATTAACTGCGATATCTTCTTCTTGAGAGAAGTTATGCTATAACATTTAAAATACATCTTTTTTTTTTTTTTAATGATCTCTTGACTGCATATTAGCAGTGGGTATGAGCCATGCAATTTGAACTTCAATCTGCTTTGTTATCTAGTAACAGTAGAGGTCTTATATCCTCCCTCTCAATCACTAGAGAGGGGAATGAATCCTATTTAGCCATAGCAATTAAAGAGACTGTGATTGGTTTCAAGTTAGAAATCCTAATGGGTTGGTTGGAATAAATAGCTGCATTCTACAATTCTCCAACTTTCCTTAATTCCTCGTTTCACTTTTCTTCAATTAATCTTTTATTTATGCAGTTTAAGGTTAGTATTACAGTTTATGCACATGTGTGTAGAGTGTGTACACTGGATAGCTACTGGCAAAGAGGATTGCAGAAGCCATTATGCTCATAGAAGCTAAACAGAGGTGAATGAGTACATTCTATAATAATTCTCTTCAGAATTTCAAACAGTGCATATATGAAGTAAATGCAAGGAAAGTGTTCTCTGAGCTTTTTAAAATGAAGTGAAATTCCTGTTTGCAACATCTTAATAAACAGAAACAGGCTAAGACACATTTCTTTTAGCTGCACAAAAATGAATGGCATCTCAATCAATAAACACAATAGTGAAGAGTAGCTGGTTTTAAGTATGCAGCTACAAATGTGAAATACAGTAAGTATTTAGAAATAAATTGAAAAAAAAACTGGGATTAATGCATTTTTTATTTTTTAGAAAATATACTTACATAGTTATCAACACTGACCATCAAATTAACATGCAGAATTAATAATGTGTGATTTATCTTTGAAATTAGGAATGCTTTTATATCACTACCTCATTATGAAAGAGTCAGCCTGGTAAAGTAATACAAAAAGGCTCATAAATGGAACAGTACAAATCAAAATAATTACCTTTACTCATATTCAGAAAGGTTCCTGTGTAGAACAGGTAGAAGAAAGGAAAAGGAATGCATAGATGTGATATGATGTAACAGAACTCCCCAGACTTCCATTCTACTTGCACATCTTAGTACCTTTCAGGGAAAGTACTGGGTCAGATTTTGCTACTTAAAAGCTTTTAAATACCTTGTATTAAAAATATTATGCAGAGAAGGAGAAGGCTATGGCACTTTTAAGAATTAACACTTCAGAATATCTGCCTGTATACATGCCTGCGTGGAACATTTTTTCCATCTTGTCTTAAGAAGTCTTTTTTACAGAGACAGTGTTTTCCAGTGCAGATTTCTGTCTTCCAAGCTTCATGAAACCCAGAGACAACCTCTGAGTTTGTGGAAATGCTCTTTGAAAAATAGTTTCACCCTTATTCCCCAAAACCTACCCTGCTGGTCTGTTCTCCATAGCTTTCTCAACAAAACAGTTGACAAAGCCGTTTTCATCCAGCAGTGATTCTGACCCAAACTAGCAGTGTTTTGCTTCCCAAGTTTGCGGTGTGGACTCCAAGAGGCCGTTCTGGGGCGCTTTGCCCAGCGCCCTTGGCTGGCTGAGCTGGTCAGGAGGCTTTGCTGGCATGGCTGGGGCACACGGAGCGCTCAGCAGGGCTGGCAACAGCAGGAGGCTCCTCCTGCCCCCCTCTGCCGTGGGGCACGGAGTTCAGCTGTAAAACGTGGCCTGTCTTGAGCAGGTACAGCCAAGAACTGATCCCTTGATTCCTCACCAGACCTTGGCCAGTATCGGGGCAAATTATCCCCAGCTGAGTAAGAATTGGCACAGACTCCGTGTATTACAGAAGGCTGATCAATAATCTTTATTAAGAAACCCATTGCTCTTATAGACTAGTTCACTACAGGTGTAATTGATTGGTCCTTGTCTCAAAACACCATCACCATTGGCTAATTAAGAAACCATCCTTTGGTAAACAAATCTCCATAACACATCCCACACGTTCACAACAGGTGCAGCAAGTTAAGGTAAGAATTGTTCTCATTCTTTTCTCTGATCTTCTCCCAGCCTTTCCCAGCACGAGGCCTGGGACTGTTGTGTTTCTCTCTGTGGCCAGAGAGCTCCTGCCACACGGACAGCCCTTACCCCAGTGTTAATGAGTGTTCTGGTAATTAACATACTATAAAGTAGTCCCGTGGGTAAGTCTCCAAAGGGGCAGGGTGGTCTGCACTAACTCCTGTAAGGACTGGGTTTGCACTCTGTGAATTTATTGATAGGCATTATTGCAATAACCATAGGTACCCTGGACCTACCAGGGCAATCTGAGGTTTGTACTATTCTGCATTTTAGGAGACTTGGTGCATTCAACATCTTAGAAAGGAAATTAAAAAAAAAAAAAAAAAAAACAAGCAAATCAGACTCCAGTTACTTCATAGAAACATGTTTGCACCTTTTTTTTCCCATTTTTGAAGAACTGTATTGAGATAAAAATATATGGCTGGGAGAAGATCTGTTAGAATTAAATTGCAATCATTGTAAACAACAGTAAAATGTCCAGTATTTCTACTTTCCCTTTTCTGTTCCTTTTATTTTTTCAATAAATAACAGACTTGTTCAATAAGTGCAATAGACTTTTTCAGTAGACCATCATGGATTTTATTTTTGTTGTGCTTTTTATATCATGCTGCTTTAAAAAATCCATTTTGCCAGGCTGTTTTTAATTTAAGCTCATTGCAAATTATTTGTTTGTCCCAGGTACATCTTGCATTTAGTGCAATAGCTACCACTGAGTTCTTGATGGCATGGGGTGATAAAACATAGAATGGCTAGAAACTCAACATTAGTTCCTGAAATTCCTGTTGCATCCTCTCCCACACTGCCTCCCTTTTACCCAGGTTTACATGCATTCTTATATTTTTTTCCAAAAGGTAAAGTAAAAAAAAACACTTCCCCTCCTGAATTTCTAAGATGCACACCAGGGAAAACACAGGAGGAGGTTTTGTTTAAAATAGCCTCAGCAACATTGAGGCAAGTGATGTTTTATTATGTTTCTTGGTGAACTTGCTATTTATCAACTCTATCCTAACTGCAGAAATATGCCTGAAAAAATAAGTGTTCAATGATTTACACAGAGAAAACTTATAAGGTGTTCATTACCTTTTCATAAAATTTCCTTGCTTGTCTTATGTGCAAGCAAAAAAACCTAACTTTATTTTTCTACATCTCTCAGTATTTCATAGGCTCTCCTGCTGTACCCTTGCTGGTTTGATTTCCAGTCTCCAGTTAGCATGCAGAGCCAGGTTTTTATGAAGTTCAAGAACTTACATGTTGCTTTGGTGTCACAGCCATTTCCCTGAGTGGGTGATAAAGCAAGTCTGTGTCCATACACCAGATATTACACCCAGCAATGAAATTTTAGCATGTTGTTGTATGGACTCTCAAGTAGAAGAAACAGAATAACCTCCCTTCGAGATGTTTTATCGCCAACCCTTATCACACAAAACAATCTTTTCATTATTATAGCTTTTTTCATTATTAATATCTTACTTTCCCAACAAATATCAACTGTAGTCTTTTTTTGATAAGTCAACATATTTGTTCCTCCTCCAGCAATACAAAATAGCAAGAAAACAATATTTTCTGAAGATAAGAAGGAATACTGAAGGTAAGAGGAATACTGAAGTTTGCTACACGTGTTTTAACCTTGACTTAAATTTAAAAATTTGTTGCATACATTTAGAATATTCACTTTTTGTTTAAATGGTTTTAAACTTTTAAAGGGTGAGATGGAGTGTGCTTTTTTTCTGTTGCTGTCTTTTTGGTGCATCTTCACATAGGGATGTATTTGCCTTTTGGGAAGTTGACAGTGTAAGTGGCTGACAAACTAGCTAATAAATCTGAGGTTAATAGGGTTGTAGACAGCCAAGTACCTAGGCGTAGGAAGGATCACCAGCCACAGAATACTGCACATCTAGAAGCTGTCAATACAGAGTATGAAAAATTTAAAGGACAAAGCAAAAGTAGAAGTTCCAACTCATTTTTCTGCTTGCTGAAGCAATCTCTCACATCAGCATATCCTGGTCCTCTAGGGAAGGCATGTATTTAGGGTTTGATCTTGATTCTACTCATGCCAGAAAAAAAAGTCTCTTTTTCAACCCTAAGTGGAGAGGATCAGATTGCTAATGATTGTTACCCCAGAAAATAAACCCAGAAGTAGAAGGGCCTCAGGTTATACCAGTATGACATGTCTCTGTAAGAAGTAGTACTCTCTACTTCTTGTGTAGAAATCAGTTTGAATTCATTTAGAGGTATTTAGAGATGGGTATTAGAGCTTTAAATCTGATTATTCTAGTTCTCTTAATTAGTAGACCAAATGTTTGATACAGCTGCTGTGCACTCATGGTATTGAGGACAGTTTCCATCCAGAGGAAAAAAAAATCTTTTGAAGAAATTTTCTGTGCAGTAAATTAAATCACTTGAAGTAGCTTGTGGCCAGAAATTTGAGTAAGCCAGCATGGGGCTCTGGGATTCAGCAGAGCTGAACTGATGGTTGTCACCTGTGATTGTCATTGAATTATGCAATGGAATTCTCTTAATGCCTGAACACAAGTATGAAATAGGAAAGGGTGAAAAGATGTTACCATTCCACCAAAACTCTTCAAAGAAATGACAGTTGCTGAAGTACTGCATCTTCAATATACTCTCCACTTGTCTGAAGCCACCATAAAAATAGCTGGCTGGAGACTTAAAGGTGTGCACATCACAGATCTGCCAGGGAAGCCCTGCCTGCACTAGGCAGACTGCCAGGCTGCTCAGCAGGGTTCTTTGAAGGCATGATGCCCTGAAGGCTCCGATTTTTCCCTCTTCTTCCCTGCGAGATGTCTCAGATGTGTTTTGATCATGGAAAGACCTTGCCAAGGGGTTATCATTTCAAAGGGAGCCAGGATGCCATGCACAGCTGGTCAGGAGTAGCCTGCCTGTGGGAACCCAGGAAGGGAGATATTCCCCCTGCCCTGGGCTCCCACGCCTGCCTCTGTTCTCGGAGGTGCTGGGGACACCATCCCACCTCACAGCCTCCCACCTGTGGCAGAGCAGCAGCAGTTCCTGCTGGCAGCTGCCTACAGCTGGGGAATGCTTCCCACGTGGCACAGAGAAGCAGGAAATGGGATCTGAGCTTGCCAAAAGGGAAGACCTGGCAGAGCTCTGCTCTGGTTGGCCTTTCTCACAAGGTGGCTACCTGGCCATGGCTGAGCCACCACGAAGCCCATCCTCTGTGCCTTTGTGCTGCGAGGTTGAACTGGTGCCCTGAGCTGGGATTTTATCTCTTATAAATAACTTTTTAAAAATACATATTAGCCACATAATGCCGCAAGTTCTTATACAAAAGTCTTGGTCTTTTAGCATTGTGTTCTGCAGGAAGGTGCTGGTGGGAGGTGTCACGTAAGACCCAGTGTGTGGTTTAAGTGCCACTTTGGGGACACTGGGGAATGACAGCAAATCTCGATTCACAGTGTTACCTGAAACAACACCCTTGCCCAAAGTGCTTGGGTGTGCCATTGACTGTGGCAGAAATTGTAGAAACCATGCGAGATCAACTTATCGATGAATAAAATCAGGTGAAATTAAAGTTGGGCAAACAAGAAATGTGCTTGGAAGTGTTTCTCTCTGGCCCACAGGAAAAGGTGTGTTAATAAGCACAATGGTTGTATTTTCAATGAAATCTGGTTTGATGCTTAAAGGGGAGATGGATAATTAAGACTTCATCTTCCAAAATATTAAATATTGATTTGTAGACATTTAGCAGCAGGCATAAAGCTCTTCTGAGAACTAGCTGTAACTGTCTAAAAGATTATAAAAGATTTTCTTATTATAAAATATTTTTTTCTTATTATAAAAGATTTTTTTCTTATTATAAAAGATTTTTATACTTTTCCATGTAGAATTTAGCATTTTTTTTTAATTTAAAATTTATGAAATGAGACTAAAATAAATCAGGAGATAAACTTCTAGCCCTCTGAGTGTGTTTCAGTCCTGCTTTGTGTGGCCTTGCAGAATCAAAATGGATATATGATTTTTTTTAAAGTTTGTATTGGCTTTTGGCTTATTGAAGTGTCAGGAGGTTTATAAGCTCCTAAACTCCAGTTTTGATTGTTTTATCCAACTACTGTCACTTCTTATCAGTATTAAAGGCAGAAATCAAAAGCATGGGACCCGTGGGAAGAAGAGTTGCAGATGTACACTGCTGCTCTTTTTTGTCACTGTTCTGAACTGTGCCCCTCTGCTCCCGACAGCAAACCCACAATGAGATAAGGAGCCGAGTTTCATACCTCATTAATTCATTTGTGAATTAAACAATGGTGTTTTTAGTTTGAGTGTATATCTTTCCACCCGCCTTATCCTTTCTTTATGACTTGTGAAATTGCTGAAGTCCAGCATGTCCCATATCACTTAGGACAGCTTTGCTCTAGGAGCCCATTTGCCTCCAGCCTTTCACTTACTGTACACTGGGAATCAAGACACTTTGTTTAAACAGGTGAAAAAAGAATATTCCAGCTCAGCTGTATCTTGCAATGTTTCTCCCAAAGAGAAAGTAACCCAGATGGGTTTGAGAGCTTGGCTCTGAGTATGGCACTTGCTTCTCTGAGCAAAGTGAAGCAGATGCTGAGCTCCCTGCAGGGGCTGGGCAGGGGCTGCCCCCAGGACACTGCTGTGGTCCCTAGGAGGAAGGGGTAAAGTCGTTTGAAAAACCATCTCTCTGCAGAAAGAAAACACCCCACAGGAAAGGGAAAGGAAGAGTTTATTCTCACTAGGCAGTTCTGGGTGGGGTCTTTCCTTAATCACAGCTCAGATGCAAAAATATCTTCACTGAGAAAACTGGAGTATTTTGACACCAGTTAACTATATCTATATGCTCATGGTTCCGTGGTCAATCTGTGTAGTAATAGGCATTCTTGTAAATCAAGGACTTTATTAATGGTAAAAGCATGTGCATAACTTCTCTTTTTCTTTATTTTCTTTTTTTTTTTTTTTGAGATATCTGTGTATTAGAAACTGACATGAATTTTCACAGTCAATTTGTTAAATTCAATACACGTATTAACCCTAAGAAGCTGCATTTTCTGTGCTTTATTTGCAGTAGTTTCAAGTTGATCAAATCTATTTCAGAATGTTCTCTATTTTATGGGAACTCGCTTTAAAGAAGTGTAAGCAAAATACGTTCATTTCACCACTGGATCAATTCATTAGGTTTTAAAAGTACATTTCCACTCTACCATCAAGACCAGTAAAGGGAAAAAGGGAGGAGCAATGACAGAAAATCTATTTGACAGAATAAATAGTTTCTTTGCACATATGTATATATAAGTGTGTGGGTTTATATGGGTAAAGTAATGGTGATGGCACTGATGAAGCAGACATGTTTTAGCATTATAATGACAAATTGTAAAAGATGACACATGTTTAAAAAAAAGATGATGTTTATTGGAGGCTTGATTATTTCCTACCTTCACCAAACAGAAAATTGACTGAGACAATAGAATACAGCAAGTTAGAGTCCAAATTGAAACACTAAGTCATGTCTACATGGCAAGCAGAAAGTAATTAAAAAAGGAATCACCAGTTTTAGAGAAGGGAAAAGAGAGAGGAAACACAATTAGAATTCAATACTTAAATCGTACTTAAACTCTGAAATTGCAAAAAAACAGATAGTTCATAAATAAGGATTTGCAGTGGCACAAGCAGCAGGGTAAGACACTAGAGTGAAGCATGCAAATTGTACATTTGCACATTTCTAAGTAAGCATACAGACCAGATATTTTTTGTGTCCTTGGGTGCTTATTACATTCCTTACCTCCTTTGACCATTTCAGCTGGGCTATAGACCCAGAAGGGATATACATTTTATGTTCTTTTCATTTTGACATTTTTACGGTTAGATGTTGTGCAGACTTAAATTTTTTTGTGCTCAACTTTAGCTACTCGAATCCTGATGTCCTCTCATTTATCCTGTCATCTGTCATTGATGTAACTGACTTCTGTGACAGTGTTGACAGAATTTATCTAAGAGTTTGCTGGATGGCACATTTCACAGAGTCAAATATAAATAAAAGGGTCCATCACCTGGGGGATATGGGATTGGAAGTCAATGGGTGTTGAAGGTGCTTAGTTTCACAAAGACCTATTCAAGAACTCACACAATCCCGTCTTATAGATTTATCACTTTATATATGACCATGTTTATATTCCCTTCAGGTCAGGTAGCAATATGTTGTTCTTCTTTTTTTCTTTCCTAAGACATGGCAGATAATCAAATATGTACCTGCATTTCTTTCTGACATTTCGGAAATGCTAAATATTGTATTCTGGTGATAATGCTTTCTGAAGAAGGAAGGAATGGCCCATTTAATAATGTATACTTCATTTACAGTTTGGAGTGTTAGCCAACTACTTGTGATGATACTTCTTCCAGTCATAATACTGATATATGCAGAGTTCTAACTACATTTTTAAATAGAAAAACAACTGAATGATACATTCAAAATAATTCATGGAGAGGAAATAGATGTATTTCAGCATGGGAGAATATTTATGCATTATTTAACAGCAATAATGTTTGAATTCATACATTATGCAAATGCCATTATAATCAGGAAAATGAAAGAACTTGGACTGCTGCAACATCTTTAAATCTACCATTAGGTACTTATTTGTGCATATCATTTAATACTGCACAATGTTACAGCATGTCACTTGAAAAGAGAAGTTATCAGAGACTAACAGGTTATAAAAAAGTAAAGCTGATGAATCCTGATTGCTACCTTGATGCTAATGTCTATAAATTTATCAGCAAACAAGAGTAAAGGCTTTAATGGTAATTTACATAAACTTCTCTTCTGGAGACGAGTACTGTGGTTTTACACACGGTTCCCATTTTGCATTGTGATCCTTATCCATCCCCACCCCCACATGACAGACCGGCACACAGCGTGGGCTGACACTGCCAAATTGTATTTTCTAAATGTATCAGCAGCTATGTTCCAAAACTATCAAAAGCAGCAAGCCTGGCCATATAAAACCAAAGCTGCTTCTATTTCCTCTTATCTTCAAAACAAAACATTAAAAAAAAAAAGAGATAAAACAATAAAAAAGAAAAAGCCTGTGTTTTGGAGAAGAGCATTAATAGACCTGCTCTTAGTATTTGGTTCTGTTTACACCCCTGCTTAACTAGATCCATAACCCCACACATTTGCTTATCTGTAAGTACCCATGCACATCACTGCAGCGTTTTGTGCCCCATTTCCAGGCAGTGGGAGCTGTGGCAGTGGGAGCAGCAGCCAGCCCAGCCTGGGAGCAGCCAGCGCAGCCCTGCCGGAGGGGCTGCTCTCCCTGCCCCATGCTGGGGCTCTCCGGTCTCTCCCTGCCACTCCTGCTTTTGTTTCCTCAGTCTTTCTGTTCTCATCAATGGTCTCTTTTTCTCCTCTTTTTAAATAGCTGTACCATTTCTTTCTTTTGCCCTCTTCAGGCAGGCTGTCCCAGCCACATGGTCCTTACAGCCTTCCCTCTTCAGTACTTCACAGATAAATTAATTCTCCTCCAAATGATACACGAAATCTCCATGGCACATAGTACTCTCATGCTACGAAGCAGAAACACAGCTAGTCAGACTTTTGTCCTCAAAAGTGTCTGGTGTATTCGAGCCTAAGGAGCTGAGGGTTCAGTTGTGTTCAAGTCATTCTTTGGAGCAATAATCTCATGCTACACTTAAAAGAATGTTCTCTCACAGTCAAAGGTGTGCATAGTGGTGAAGGGAGAGCTAAACGTTCCTCTTGTAGTTGATGAGTGAACAACATTTCTTCAGAATTACTTGTATTGCAAAACTCTTAATTTGTAATAACTAATATTTCTGTTAATCATAAAAATGAGAGCAAATAGAACTGAGGAACAACTGTACTGTCAGAGCAATCTATTTTCTTAACTCATTAAATAAAGCTGGCCTATCACTTGTCCAGGAGGTATTTACAGAAAAGGACAGCAGAGGGAAATTTTCATTCTGATTTCCGTGTGTAGTTGTTGTGTGGCAAGCAAAAAAGAATTTACATGCAGCTGCAATCAATCTGGCACATATCATAAACACTATATTCCCCTAATAGCTCAGGAATTCGGAACAGATCTTGCAACTGGGTGGCATTTGGGCACGGTTTGGGTGCTCACCAGTTTGAATCCAGTCGACAGCCTGGAATTTTCACTGTGATGGAGTCTTCCAGAAATGATTACTTTTTATGTCAGAGTGGATGCAGTAGTGTTTGCTCTTCCATCATAAAGACTGCCAGGGCCTCTGCTATAAAATCTCTATTGCTAACAAGAAAACACAATTCAACCAATATATTGTGCTCCTGGCTAAGAACTGGCATGCAAGAATTCATCCTGGAAATTTTTATTTGCAGAGAATGGTACTAATTTATCTGAATGCAAAATAATGCATGAACTTCCTTTTGTTGAATATTAACTACTTTTTTTTTTTTTTTATGGCATTGTAGCAATCAGTTGTTGCGAAGCTCGTTGGGAAGAGAAAGGCGTGTAGGATGTAGCAGTCACCACGGTGCAATAGCATGTGCCCACTCCAGTGCCAACTGGATCACCAGCTGATGACGAGGAAAAGAGGACTGCACAAACTGGAGTCAGTACGTCCTACAATGGCAAATCAATTAATTAGATATTAACTTTGGAGTGCTTATAATAGTTAATGCAGACCTCCCTGTTTTACATGGTTTTGACAGTGCCAGATGATGCTGGCCATACAAGAAGAAAGTGGGAGATGCAATTATTTTATGGCACCCTTGGATGGTTGCTGTGTTTGTGCCTAGGTGAACTGAAGTTTAAGTTCACCTCAGGTAGATTTCTGTGTCCACAGTGCCTGGACACAGTGACAAAGCCCAGCCTTAGATAGGACAAGGTTTGCATCACTTCAGTGCTTCCTCCTGGCTGGCGTCCCTCCTTTTGGCCAAGCAGATGGTACAGCAGTTTGCAGAAGCTGTCCAGTGTGTCTGTGTTTTCTCTGTCATTACAGCTCCTGAGATGAAATTTCAGAAAGTGCCAAATCCAGCCAGGCCTCTGTGTGACTAACAAGGATGCCATCCCCACCACAGAGGAGTGGAAGAACTGTGGCAACCCCTCAGCAGAGGAGCTTGGAGAGAGCAAGGGAGCCAGTGGTATGGTTAATTCTGGACCTGTCATGCTGTAGAAATCATCTCTTCTGCCTAAGGCAGCCCTGTTGTGTTGGCAGTGTAGCCAAACTGCAGCTGGAGGAAGTGCCTGCTTGGCTGAGTCAATGCAGCCGCCTTCTGCAAAGTTACCAGGAAGTAACATCACAGCTTCACATTTCTATAGACTTAGAGCAAGGTCTTCTAAATTATGATCATAAACTCAATCCAACCGAAAAATGACAAAGGAACTTGTTTGGCATGTGGAAAAGCATCTCTGGGTTATCTCCTTTTCCCAGCATTTCTTCTGTTGGAGTAGGATTATTGCTGCCATTATTCCTAATAGTTTCTGATTGCACAGAGGACATGCTCTAAAAAACACTGAAGTCAACAGAAAAATTTCCTGAGAGCCCAAATCACAAATTCATATGGTTTTCTCAATTCAAGATCATCCACTCTCTGGCTCCAGTGTGCTAGGATAGGTCCAAAATACTTGTTTTTCAAAACAGAAAAATTAACTTCAACATTAAACTTGGCACTGATTTCAAAAGGATTATCCCACTTATCTATGTTCTGGCAATCCTTGCTTGCAGAACAGTTTTAAAATATGTTAAGTTTTATGCTGATAGTTCACATATCCTTATACTAAATAAATATGTACATTTATGTACAGTGTGATGTGATTTAGGTCTCATATGACTGTGTGACATTGTTTCTCCTAGGAATGGCTGTACTCCTCAGCATGGTGAGGAAAATGCTGTTTCAACATAATGGAATATTTTAATTCCAGGTAGTCAAAATGATGTCTTTAACATACGGTTGTCTGCGGTTTGTGGCATAGTATTCATAACTTTGCTAATTCCTTTGGGTTTTAATTAGAAACATTCAGCTACATTTCCCAAAAACATGCAAATGCTGGGCCCCCCACAAACAGCATTATTAAGATGGTTTCTTAATCGATTTTTCTTTGGGAGCAATTCAGTTCACTCCCATTTTATTGTGGCAAACACTGGCATTTGTCACTTCTTCCAGTAACTGATGCTTTCTACTTTAATAAATGCACATATTAGATGCTATTCTCTTTCTCTGTTTGATAGGTGTGTAGTGTCAGGAGGAGGAAGGTCGCAATGATGTTAAGTTTTCTGCTAAGCAAAGGATCAGAGCGTAAATGAAATCTTGAAAGCTGGGAAATGAGAATGTGCAAGTGTAAATAATGTATTAATTATTGACAGCTAGGGGACCGAAAAGTCCTGTTTAGTAGTGACATCTTCATTGTCACACTGCCTGACACTATCTCAGGTATTTTTTTTTAATAACAGGTTTCACCCCCAAGATAGTAAGTATTTCAATTTACCAGTGTAACTATTTATATTTTTTATTTTCTTTGGCTTTTCTTTATCTTACTGCAGTCTAAGTGCTTGGTGCAGGAGGGGGAGAAGCCAATCCTTGTTTTTCTTTGTGGCAAGTGACATTATGGTACAAAATGGATTTTTTTTTTTTTTTTTTTAGTAATGAAAGAACAATATACTGAGGGGCAAAAGGAGATTCCACTTCATTGGTTATTTATGGAACTTAAAATATAGTTTAAGGAAAGACATATAATAGCTAAGGGCTCAGTTTTGCCAACAGGCCTTCCCAGCAATGACTACTGCTTAATATATGCCAGAGCAGAATTGGTTTCACCATGGCTTTTTGAGCGAGACATTAGTTATATTAAGGAAAGGTGTTCCTGGGTTAAAAAGCATTTAATACTCTGTACTTTCCAGTCATTGCACAAAGTCTAAGAGTAGTAGTGAATTCCTTAATATTTCAATTATTTTCGTTACAAATTAGAGCAGAAAAAATTCCCATGATCCCAAAAAGGTCTTCATATATTACGTGCTTGCATAAGGGGCTAGAGGTAAATAGCTAGGAGCTTACAAATACTGATATTTAAACTGAATAGGGGAAAAAAAATCCACCACAAGTCACCAAACAAAAATAACAACAAAACCCCTCCACCACCAAAAATACCTCCTGATCCTTCTTTGCCAAATGACCTGTGAACTTTCCTCCCCTCAGCCCCCAGGTAAGGGGCTCCAGTGCCCTTTGGCAATCCTGTGCAACCTCCAGACCTCTGTTGGTCCCTGACTCCTGCTCTAACCCCCCACTGGCTTTGCCCATCATTAGATTTTGTTCCCTCTGCGGGTGGAACACACGAGGAGCTCGCAGGGCTTGGGCAGGCGCTGAGGAAAGCCAGGGATCCCCAGCCTGCAATGTCCCTTGGGGGCAGAAGGTGCTGCTGAGGGCTGGGCCTTAAACAAAAAGAAGAGGCAACTACTTCAGATGCTCTGCACACCGTGATATTGTCTTTGCTTTCACCTTACTGAAGAGAACTGGGAGGCAGCTTTCAGTCAAATCCCTTTCTCCTGAAAAATGCAGGTTCTGATCTGTGGAATTGCTTAGCAAATTTCTGTCAGCCCTATTGAACAGATAGGGTTGATAAATCCTGGTATATGGAGAACTGGAAAAAGTGGAAATGTTTAATTTCACTGTTTTCAAAAAAGTGTTTTGATTTATCACATTGAAAAGATCTTCCATTTTAAAAGTTCGATTTCTTTGTTTAACAAACATTAATGTTTTTACTAAGTTAAGATTAAAGAACCATTTCCCCTGCGATTTCCCACTTCCCAGCTGAATCCAGCCATCGGTTCCGGGGCAGGGATGCCCGGGCCGTGCCCCTCTCCCTGCTCCTGGAGCTCTCTGTGCACAGCGGGCCCCGGGCAGGGACGTGCCCAGCTGCACCTCCCGCTCCAAGGGCATCTCTTCAGGTGCTGGCACAGGAGGGGAAAATGCAATTCGCTCTTCAAGTCTGTTGTTGTTTACAGAACATGTGTCTCAAACATTAAAAAGTGCCATATGTGATGCTGAATATAGAGCCTTCTTCCTCTGCCCAAGAATAGAACTTTATCAAAATGAAATTTCCTGCTCATTTGAGCCCGTCTCCATAGCAACAGTACAGTACACCTGTGATGTACAGGCAGAAGCTGCTACAACCTCTGAACCAGGCAGAATGAGCCGTGCTCCATCCCCCTGTGGAAGGCAGAAGTACATCTCTGATGTATCCATGGCACATTTTGCTATATGCTACCTATCTGTGGGCCCTATATACAATCATTTTATTCAGGATTACCCTACTTAACTTTGGTAAATAAATACAAATGTGCTACTTACATGAAGTTGTACTCTTGCAAAAATTCAATCTATTCTTGTCCTGAGGGAAGACTTTACAATGCAAACATTACACGAAATAAAAGCTTGTGCTCACATTTGTAAGAATTTCCTAATTCAAAAAATTCATAAAATGCCTCACTCTTGAAATCTGCCAACCTGTTAATAGTACATCATTAAAAGAAAAAAGCAACTGCATGCTGAATTATTTAAATATTATTTTAATAGTAAACTGGAAATAATTATGTACCTTTGGCTATCCAATATTGCAAATTGCTGCTCACTCCATAACTTTTAGTGAAATTGAACTCACCAATAAGAAACAAATGGTTGCATTTTAAAGCAACCTGAAATTATTTCCCCAGGTCATTCATAAGGTAGATCATTACAGAGAAACGTTTTCTTATGCAAATAAAAAATAGCCTGCTAATGTAATGTAAATTATATTTTAAGCTTCCTACATTTATTAGCTTATTTAAGAAGAGGCAAACTTCAAAGGATTTTATTTGAAACACGTGCAGAGTGAAAATCTCCATAATGATGGCTATTGCTCACAGATATACTGTATAACATATAGATGAATTGTCTGTTTCTGTCTTTTGATGTTTGTGTGTTCTTGTCTTTGCTTTCAGACCTGCCCTCTCTTCCCCTCTTAGCTCAGCACTTCCCATTACTGAATGCAGGGCAAGCTGCAGGCAAAAGGAGTGAAATATGATAGCTGATACATGTATCTTGGCAAAGTTTATTGCATCAGGTTGCCTGAATTTTTAATACCACTCCTTGTTACAGTGGGCTTGACTTTCTCCCCCAGTGTTATTATAACCCTCATTTCTATGCCAGCGAAAATAGGGCTTTTGCTCTCAGAGCAAAATTTCTCATCCTTTTTCAGCAAATGGGTGGACAATATTGTTTTTCTTTTGCAAGGCACAGAGAAACCAGGGTGTGGGGACTCCCCCTCATGCAGGCTGCAGCCAGCACTGGTGACTGGATGAAAAGGGAACCGATCTTTTATCCACACCTTAAGGACAGGAGGCAATGATCTCAAATTTTTTTGTGGTATTTGTAACAGGTATTTATTTTCTCTTTCTCAACTGTGGTTGTTTTCAGATTTTCTGCTAGGAAATATCTGTCTTATATAAGCTGCTAATACTCTGCTCTAGGCAGAACATGGTGCTTGGAGCTTATGTAGGCTGATTTCAGGGAAACTAGCAGCATTATTGATTTTCATTGGGCTTATTAGGATCAGTGTAACATGCACTTTTGCTATACTAGATTGTATTTGACTTTCATCATGAAATCTCATTACACTAAAAAGAAATGGAAACAAGCTATGCAAATAAAAGATTTTGCAGGTACTCTAATGAAATTACTCTGTATCTGCAAAAACACACTTTGTATGTAGGTCATTCAAACCCTGAATGTTGCTGGTCAGAGTGTTCTCATTTGCTTTTGAAAATTAAGAATAGATTCTCCAGCCTTAGCAGAATTATTTCAGATTTATGCTAACATAACTGGAGTTATAGCTTGATCCTTGAAGTAGTTGTGCTATCTGAATTCTGATGTTGAGTCAGTGATTTACTAGGAGAGGGAACTTCCAATTGCTTGTCTGCTTGCAGCTGGTTTGGGTGCTGCTACAACTTTATCCATGTGTGAAATCCACGTGGCTGTGGGCACAGTCCTGAACCCCCAGCCAGGATGAGGAATTGTTTTCACCCATTTGGCTCTTGTGGGGCATCGTCTTGTCGTGTTTTGCCTGTTGGCATCTGTGGAGGCAGCATGAGCTGGCAGCACAGCAGATCTCCTCAGGCACAAAGTCCTCCATCCTGAAGCTCAGAGAAGATCCGGTTACCACCTCCAAGAACAGTGAATTGTTCCCAGAACAACTCACTACCAAAGCTCATATGTCCAAACCCAGACGCTTCACCGCTATTCCCGTAGCTGCAGACAGTGCTGAGACCTTCTCATACTCTGCTGGCAGGAGAAGGTAAGGTTGTTTCTGTGGTTCCTACCCCGTGAGTGCCTGGACTCTTTGGGAGAGCAAAACTCCTCTGCAGTGGTTGTCCTGATGCTACAGAAATGATGTGCTGAGGGCTGTGCAGGCTGAGGATGGCAGCAACGCCTCCTGCCCGCAGTGGGGTGGCAGAATTCCTGGGCCATGTCTCCATGGGGCCACATCTCCTCTCGTTCCTCGTCTGCTTGCAGGGTTGAGGAAGGGGAGGTGGTTTTTGGTTTTGTGTTTTGTCATCTCCTTTTCTTGTCACTTGAAATTGGCCGTAGGAAAAAAACATTCCTCCAAGTTCTTTACTTACTCTAAGAATGGATCAAGACTTTTGAGCTCTCATGAAAAAATATTCTCCTTTGACATGTTTTGATGGTGCCTCTAAGAATAACACATTTCTTAATGGTCAGGATGCTTTGGTTTTCATAGATGTTCTACATCTGGAGAAAGCAACATTCTTTTGAGAAAGAGAAATGAATTTTGAAAAAGAACTCTGAGAAGCAACTCTCAGGCTTCCTTTTCTAATACATTAGTGTATTTCTGATCCTAGAGGGTGAGCTATGTAAGGTACCAAAATTAGCAGAAAGCGCCCAGTTAAAAACCAAGCTATGGGATAGATGCTAGGAAAAACAAATTCAAGATGCAAAGCTGCAATTGCAAAGTTACTTGAGGAGTACAAATTTGGTGTTACTGACAGTCTGTGATTTAATGACATTGCACAGTCAGCTTAGGCAGTCTTGAGTCCCTCGCTGTTGATGCAATGAAACTGTATTCTTCTGCTTGGAATTGCCTGGTTTTGTGGGGTTTTATGGTGAAATTTTGGTTTGGATTTTTTTTTTCAGAATTTTTCAAACTCAGCAGCAAAATCCTAAAGGGGAAGCTTGCCTAAAATACATGTGACAGTCTTATTTATTTGTGAAAAGGAATCTCCAACTGCTGGACACACAGGTTTATCGAAAAGAGCTCTCCTGTGTTGCTGACAATTAGTATATTTTTCACTTGCAAAATGGTGCTTTCTGCTAATGCTACGGTATAGTAATCAAAAGCACCTAATCCAGCTGATTAAAAATTCCCTGTTGGGCTTTGCTGACCAAATGAATAGAATTAGTAAGACATTTCAAGTAGGGAATTTCCTGCAAATACTGATATTTGTAGACCTTAAATTAAAAGTATAATATGTAAAATTACATATCAAATGAAGAGAGATCTTATTCCTTGGTGCATCTAACTGAGACCCATTGTTGATGTGTGGCAGGAGAGGTTTTATTCTGTAAGTACAGGTAAGCTTTTCTCTCAGACCTTAGCTTTAGAATCAAATTAATCATGTGATCAAAGCATTTCTTTTTTACTTCCTCCCAAAGAAACTTAGCAAAAATTAAGTACCTTAAGTAAGTTAGTTCATGTAGGCAATGGTAACAGGTGCTATGGGTTGTTGTTGAGATATTTGTTTAATATTAATCTAAAATAATTTAAATGGCATCTTAATAGCCTTATTTTATGTCTCTTATTTTGATTTTAAAAATCAGTGCATTCCCCTTAGTGCAGTTAATAGGGTCAGCCTGTGAGCCTGTGCTGGTTACCATGCCTTCAGTCATGTGGAATCCAAACAGCCATTATAATTTGTTTCTAAACAGATCAAGAGCTATTTACCATCTCAATGTTTTGTGCACAGCTGGGTGTCTGGCAAACATCCAGTATCCATTAACATTTAAAAATTAGTCCCATAATGCATCTTTTCCATGGCTTGAGGAGTATACACACTGACACATGTTGGGAACCAATTATATTTGCACCACCATTAGTCTGGCTGCATTCAACTTCCCAGTAAATGAGGGCTAATTTAGTTTCCAGAATGGTGTATCTTAAATTCATGCAATGACCTTAGCAAAAGCAGAGTATCTGAAGATATAAAGAGGAAGGAAATGTTCAGAAAGAATAATGCTTCCTTTTTTTCTGCCTAAATCATGAGAGTAGATTATTATATGACTGTTTCCAGTATCCATGCCTGGCCTTAAAACCAGATTCCTTTAATTCAATACTGCTGAAATTCATGAGCAGACTTTGGTTGGGAAGAAATCACACTAATATGGTAAACTAGCACACCCTCCTTGCTCAGATCAAACCTGCTAATGGACCTTTTTATAATAGCAATTTAGACCTGCCTGTAGCAGGTCTAACTCTTCAGGTTCCCAACTGATTTTAAGTGTTCTATTTTCCTACCAGCAGGAAAATATGAAATACAGATTTCACAGTAAGTGCTGTCTACATTGCTTGTGAAATATATTCTAACAATGCCATGGAAATGAAATGACCCTCACAACTGGCAGTTTGGCATAGAATTCTAATGAAAATGGAGAAACACAAACATATTTTGAGAAGTATATTTGCCAAACCTCTGCTGCCATAAGAAATTCCTCCAATAATATCAGAGGTGAAATGGGCTGTCTGGCTTGGGGGATGAGTGTGTAACACCCTTCCTTGCAGGGTGTCAGCTCAGCTCCCAGTAGTCAGGTTCTAGACTGACTGACTTCTGCTGCTGCAATGCACTGCACAAGGCTTCCCCCAGCTCACCCAGTCTGTGGCAGGCTGCTTAATAAAGCTAAATTGCTCCTACAAACACAACACTATTCAGCAGCCTTTTAGAATTAAGAGCTGGTTTAAAAATAATGTTTATCCTTAACACTCATCTGAACCAGTTAGAAATACAAGAAGGCAGGAATTTTCTAAATGGGAATTTTCTAAATTGTTGTATACAGCAATACAGTGCAGCAAGCCTCCAGGTGAGGGGTCTGCTTCCTCCTCCAGATGTGCACATCTGCAATAACTCTGTCCTCTTGGCACAGTTTGAATGGAGTTAGCTGTAGGAGTCTGTCTGGAGTGAGGCTGCAGCTTTATAAACAGATCTAAAGTTTAATGTATAGAAATAGTTATTTACATATGTTTAAAAGGCAGTATTTAATATATAAAATTTGTTCTTCACTTACATCCATATAGCTCAGAGCTAGCCTTTGTCAAGTATTTCTTTATTGTATCAGCACCTTTTTCCTTTTACTTTTTGTGCAAGAAAGTATCTTTCAGTGAAAGGGCCTGTTCTTGAAGCTGCCCTTTTGGAAAAGTTCACTGTACAGTCAGTATTTACAGATGCTGTTTATACTGCCTTCCTCTCAAAAGACATGGCTTTTTATTTTATTGCTTTCAGTGAAACCCATGCTTGTAGTCCCTGACAATAACACATTTTCATGCATCATTGGCAATACAAGGCTTCATTTAGACTATTGATTTACATTCTTATTGTATTAGGACTTGTTAGTGTTTCATACCTTCTTATTGTTTGGTGATTGACCTTTGCAGATTTATAGTACATAAGCAATTAGCCAGTAATAGGTTAAATTAATAAAGAAGATTCCTATCAAATTTGGGGGATTCACAAATCTATCATGTTGTGGTACAGTCCATTTTTTTATTTATATTCCACACAGCTGTAGTTATAAGCTGAATTCCAAGTGCAGAAAATCCTGCTGAAGACTCCCAGGTTACATGGGAAGACGATGATGTGTGGTGTGTGAACAATTTGCTGGGTAAGTGTGTAGGGATGGGAACTGGCAGAAAGGTTGAACTGTTTTCTCTTTCTGCCTTGACAGTCTCTTTTGTTTTTCAGATGCAGATTTAACAAAACAAAACTAGAGCTAATTTTAATTTTTAATTAAAGTCAATAGCTTATGTTCATTCTGACATATTTGGTACAAAGAAGAATAAAAGAAAATACAGAGGGAAACTTGAAAGAGAAATGCATTTCTTCAGCTTAATTATTTAGTTTCAAACTAAGAAACAGCTCTGCAGACGTCGATTATCCTTCAGGGATAACTCAGAAGAAGTGAGCAATTAGCTTGATTTTCTGTTGAATATGTAGCTTGTGACTCAGTATGTGATCTATTAAAAAGATGATAATTCCTTTTAAACTGTGTCCTGATATACATGGTGCCTGTTGCTGAAGATAAAAGTCAGTGCAGTGATCCAGTCCATCACTATGTGAGACACAACTTTTCTATCTTGCTACACAACATACAGTTGTAATTTGAGATGCTCTAAGGACTGTAAGAGTAAGAGAAGGGTGAAAGAGGAGGGTAATGCTCTCCTGTTAAAAGGTAACCTGGGATACTGCTTAACACTTTTTACAGCTTTAAGCATGCTTTCCCATAGAAGCAGAGTCTGAAAAAAGGACAACATTTCTCTAGTGGAAGAAAAGTCTCCTTGCACCTGTTTCTATAGGAAAGCAGTGACTGTTCTGCCCCCATCAGCCTGAAGTCATGGATTGGGCTGTGAATGGAGATCAGCAGCTTGGGAAATTCAGGCAAGGCTGCACGGGAAGGGCTGTGGAGAGGGGAAACAGAGGGTGTGACCCATGTTGCTGCCATCCAGCCTTCCCAGGGAGCTCTGGCCTCACAGGATCACCACCCACACACAGCACCATGGTCCTGGAACAGACTGCACTGGGCACAGCACACTGGTAAGAAGTGGGAACTGGAAGGGATATTTGAAAGAGTGGTATGAAAAACACATTTTCTAAATACTATCAGTTGTGCAAACATGTCTGTGAGTACATGGACCTTGCTGCCACTGCCCTTCTTCTCAACCCTGCTGGGTTGAGACTGCCCAGGCTGTGGAGCTGTGGGTTGTGTGTCTGTTGGCACTTCTGCTGCACAGCTGAACGTATAAACCACAAAGTGCTGAAATTTCACACAGGAAAAGCAGAATGCACATTTTTGCATTTCATGTGTTCAGAGTTTTTTGGTTGTGTGTTTTTTGGTTTTGTTTTTGGTTTTTTTTTGGTTGGTTTATTTCGTTTGCTTTGTCTGTCTTTTATTACAATTATGACATTCAAATTCTACTACAGGGAGATACTGGAGGGTTTGAGCTTAAAAATTAACTTTAGTTAAGTGACTTACATGAGGATAAGTTTGCAGATGTACTGCCAGATTTCCTGTACACCTCAGTCTCACTTTGAGCACCTCCACCTGTCAAACTGTGCTCCTCCAAATGCACACTGAGCAGATGCTCAGCCCTTGATGGGCCTAAATTAATAGGCACCTGTATTTCTGACATTGAAGCTTCCATGGTATCTGAAATCTTGCTTCTGGTCATGTTTAAAAGTGCCACAGTCCTGTCAGGACTGAGCAATGTGGTATCTAACATATACCTTCATCTGCAACAGGAACCCAATGCTTTAATGTCGCATGACAGCAAAACCTGGGTCCCATCCCTTCAAGGCCAGACTGCTCTGAACCCTTTCTGCACCTTCCCAGCATACTAATGGAAGGGAGGAGCAGACCTGAGCTGTGCTCTCTTTCCCAGAATTGTGGTAGGATGTTGAATAATCCTGCTTTTGCCTTTCTGCAGCTGATTTCAAGGCCGTATAAAAGCGGGCCCTATGCACTGGTGTGGCTGTTGCTGGCCTGGGTGCCTGTGGGCTCCCTGTGGCACCATTTCTCTGCCCCTGGCACGGGGCTCTCCAACCCACACATGGCCACAGCAGCGTGGCCTCCTCTGCCCCTGGTCCCGTGGAGCATCCTCCTTTAACTCCCTGCGCTCCTCCCCTCCAGCCTGGGATGGGCTGTCCATGGGGAGCCATGGCATCCAGCTGTTTGTGAGGCTGACATGGGTCTTTTTGCAGTACAGTTAAAGGTACAGCTCATCTGTGTAAGAATAAATGTAAGAAATGCTTGCCCACCTCATCCTTTATTTATCTGCACTAATTATGCATCATGAAAGCTACTGGTGCAAAAGAGCCTGTCCTGCTTAAAGACATATATAACAGAGGATAATCAAGGTGACACCTACTCACTGCTTACATGTAGCCCAGCAAAAACCTCCTGTGTGGTTTCCAAGGGCTAGATGCAGTCCAGAAGCAAATTAGGTATTTTCTTGTGGCCAGAAGCCCAGACTAATAAACTCCACAGACCTAACTTTTCATACAGATGGGTCTTGGCTTCCTGCATTGTGTTTCCATTTGTATTGAAAATTACCCTGGATCTGGCATCACTGGATCTCTGCCAAGGCTAATCAGCCTATCCAGCCACATACTGACTCCTGAAGAGCTCCTTAAATCCTTCTTGCATTGCTGTCCCCAGTGCTGAGGAGCAGCCCAACCCAGGACCCTGAGCATTGTTTAAAATATAGTTTTATTTGTATTTGTTTTATTATTTTAGAACCTTTGTGGCTCCGCTGGCTTTGGGAAGATGCTGTGCTCCACGAATGCAGTGAATGTGGGGTAATGCAAGCATGATGGCCATGCCATAGGTGTAACCAGCTGAGCAGACACTCAAGGAGAGGCTGTGCACTGCCCAGGAAGTCCTTCCATCCAGCCATCCTGGTAATGGACAAAGCTGAAGGATTACCTGTGTCGTGGCTTCACTGAGGGGCATGCTGGTGTACCTGATACTGCGAATACAAGGCATCTCTCAGACAGTGTCTGAGCAGAGGATGTGATCCCTGGGTAAGGCGTGGTGGGGAGTCTGGGAGCAGCACAGATCTTTTCTGGCTCTGAGCTGGCTGCTCTGGCAGAGGGTGTCAGGGTGGAGTGTGAGCTTCAAAGTATACACTTTAGAGAAGCCCTCCTGTTGAGCCACAAGGTGCAGGAAGGACTCCCTTGTTTTCTAAACTCCTTCTCACACAGGAGCCTGGGATCCAGTCTTAGCCCCAGACTTTGCCAACAGTCTAAGGAATTAGAGAGGTGTGATTGAAGCCTTCTACAACTTTGTCCCACAGCATTTTGGATGGTAAACCAGATATATAAAAATGAATTACTTATTTTGATAACTGGTTAGACAAAAAGATCTTAATCTGAATTATTTACTACACAGTATTGAAGATAAATCTACTAGTATAGTATAGTAGAGAATGCTATATCAAAGCTGTCAAAACCCCACAATTATTAACTAGAGTGATGTTATCCACACCAGCAACTGTGGGCAAATCTCTTCCACTCATCCTGCAGGACTAACCTTGAAGGGCAAACCCACCCAAAGGAGGAATCTCCACACACAGTCCAACAAGAAGTGTGTTAGAAGAGCCTGACGATAAAAATGGGACTAGACTTTTACAGTACAAAGTGATTGACTGTCAGTCGTATATCTACAGGCCAGCTGTGCCAGCTTAGAATTTTTAGATAAGGATACTTCACCATATCTGCCATATCTTCACCTCATTATCAAGATATTCAGCTTTGAATCTGATGAGTCAGACTCATTTTACCAAAAGCAGTATGACACTCCCTCGCAGTTCACCGCTGACAGCTTTGTGAAGTAGGCACTGGAGTTGTGTTACCCCATCCCAGGCAGAACATCCAGCTGGAGAGGACAGGGCAGCCCAGAGCCATGTGGGCAAGGGCTGCCCACAATCAGGAAGAAGTCAGGAGACAGCTGGGTGCATGAGATGGCTGTGAAAGGCACTGATGGTGCAAAAACTCCAGTGAGCAGAGGCAGGGTCCGCCACAGCAGGGGGTTGCTGGCAGGGCAGGAAGAGCCAGCTGGGAGCATCCAGCCCTGGGCAGAGAGGCTTTCCCATGGAGAAGCACACCAAAGAACCATGGCCAAGGCAGGCAGTGCTGGGCTTCACTGGAGGTTTGAAATTCACTAAGTTGCATTGCTTGCATTGCTTCTGCAAGTCTTGCTTTTACATCTTAAACAAGGAACTAAATTAGTATGTAAGCCATTGCTCTGTGTTTATGCTGAAGTGTTACAGTGGAAATGTTCTGACCCAGAGAAGCTAGAGTATTCATTTTCCTTGAATGCTTTTGTAGGGAAATAAAACTATAGGTTATTTCTTATTGTATGTCTGAGATGCTGCACAAGAGAGTTAAAATAGAAGGGGAGGAAGAATTTAAAGGAATAGGACCTCTGTCTGTTCAGAATGATTCCAGCTTATAGATAGGACACTGCTACATTTTCACTTCAAGCATCACTTCATTGGTATTTCTGACATTTTGAGGACCAGAGTAAAAAAACTCCAGAGACCTTTTCAGTCCATTGGAATATATCTTCCTGCTGTTTTACCAGAGTACTGAAAGACATTTCATAGAAACATGTGTATGTGCAAACACATATATAAATATTAATCTTTATTAGTGACAAAATGGGGAAAACAATATGGCAAACACAACTACTTTAAATGGTACAAATCCATTAAAGAGAGTGAGTACCAGGAGGCTGCTTTTGTGTTAAATGGAAGTTCACTCAAGTTTGCCTCCAAATACAGAACTAACCCAAGAGTTTGGATTTTACAATGACAGGACAAGTCATATTTCTTCTTAATGAAGCCCAGCTCTGTCGAAAAGGAGGAAAAGGAAAGGGTCAGTGTGATAAACTGTGCAATGCAGTAATTGGATCAAGCCAAGACACTGGTGGCCTTTAGGAGCAGCAGAAGAGACCTGTAAGCAGGCTGGCATAGGCAAATTATTTTCTGTATAGGATTGCCTCAAAACAGTTTTTGGTTTTCTTCAAAATAGGACAGGCAGAAAGACTGGTTAGTGGCTTCTGAAATTTTTCATCATTTACTTCTCAATGTAATAGGATGTGGGAGGTTTTTTACCCAAAGGCATTTTCATGCCTAAAAATTTATCATGAGATTTTAGAGCCATCCAAAGTCATTGGGAGCCAGTTTCAGTGTTACTTAGTAGCTTAAGGAGGTTTTGAGGCTTTGAGTTTTGAAATTCAATACCTACAAGAGGAGTCAGGTGGCAGCTACACTGGTTTAATCCTGGTAAGTCCAGAGCAGATGTGGGGGTCAGTGCAATATTTGAAGCACAAGTATCCTCCTGGGTTCTTTTCCAGCTCTTATCCAGAATTTGCGGACAATATCTTTAGGTGTGATAGAAGCCTATAATCCTCGTGGAAATAAGAATGTTAATGGTGCTGATTGTGCTGGTTTGGCACAGCCTATTTTTTTAATGGCAGGGTGGGGCCACAGGGATGGTTTATGTGAGAAGCTGCTGGAAGCTGCCACTGTGTCCAACAGAGTCAATCTCTGATGGCTCTGAAGATAGACATGCTGCTGGCCCAATTAGAGAGGTTGGTAATGCCTCTGTGATGACATATTTAAGAAGAAAATCAGAACAGCATGCACACAGGTGTTTTTCAGGGGTGGTGAAGTGCCACTGCTGGGGCCATGCCCAGTGCAGCACTTGGCAATGTGCTGCCATCTCAGGGTGGCCTGCAGGAGCCCTGCCTGCCTGGCCACCCCTGGATTGGATTGCAGGAATAAACTTCATTGTGAAAACAGGATCAATTTAGTTTACAAACAAAAGTCTTTGGGATAGACAGCTCTAATCCAGGTGAGACAGTGCAACTCTTTCCTAGGTTAACTTCAGTTGAGACCAGATACTAATCAGTAAAAATCTGGAAGATAAGTGTCCTGTTCTGTTCATTTGATGTGGTCAATGAAAGAACTTATCTTAAAGGTTTGAATTTGACACCCATTTTTCTGCTTGCAGTGTACCTCTAAGGCTGTGTCCTGCCTCTTGGCCTTCCTTTTATTGCTCAGGATCCAAAAGGCTGCAAACAGTCCAAGGCAGAGTAACTATTAAGAACATCAGGAAATAAAAAATGTGATCACATTTAAATTGGCAATATTGTAGGTTTTTTGGGGTTTTTTTTGGTCAGCAATTAAGAAAGCGGGTTTTAGTAATAAAATTAGTGTTATGCTTGTTTAGTATGCCTATGATATTGTGAAAGGAAATTTGGGACTGGTCAAACTGCAGCTATGCAGAAAATACATCACAAGCACATTGTTGGGCACTGCAATACTTGCAGCTCAGAGCAAGGAATAGTGAGAAAGACCTCACAGCTGTCTATGGCAAAATCAATCAAGTCAGCTCTGTGAGAAGGCTTTGGAGCTTTTACTGGGACTGCCATTTCATCTGCTGTTTCTTACTGGTTGTTTATAGACTGCAAGGTTGCATCAGGTTTCTTAGCTCTCCATGAACTAAACACTTTAAACACATCACAGAAAAATTTCTCAAAGCACTGACACTGTCATTCATTTTTTTTTTCATTCACCCACTAAATATAATATCCACTGGATAAAAATGACTGATGTTTCTCAAGTTGCCACCAGCAAAATTCTTGAATCCCCCAATACCTTAACATAATTAAGTTATCTTTATACAGTTTCTTCAGGGATCATAGTGGTACTACTACTGAGTTTCCCAAGGAAACTCAAGCTAGATACTCATGCCACAGATGTGCTAACTCACAGCTTTTCCTCCTTTGGGTGTTTCAACTATACCAACCAATTTCAAATAAGTCTTACAGTAAAAATACCTCAAAGGTCTCAAATTACCATGGGCTTTGTGGCAATCTTCGATGTCATCACTCGGGGACAGTGTGTTTTACCACCCCTGCAGCAGCAGGGCCTGTGGAAGGGGAAAAGGCCATGCAGCTGCTCCAGGTCTGGGACAGGCTCTGGCTGGGGCACAGGTAGTGCCACAGCATCCTGGGATAAGATGTGAACTCAGTGCATAGCTCCTGCCACTCCTGGAATGGCTTGTTCATGCATGAAAACCTATTTTCCAAAGAGACTTTAGTGACTTCCAGAAGAACAGACCATGTCCATGGCTCCCTCTTGATGCTGGTGTTGCCTCAGTATTTGTCTGGATATGGGTGGGCCCCAGCAAGGAGTCCAGACTGTTCTGCAATGTCTTCCCAGGTGATTCTTACTGTATTTGTAATGGCCCATGGTACTGAAGTCATGCACAGGACTTAGTAGTGTTTTCAAATTCTTCTGGTAAAGAGAGAATGCATTATAATAAAGTCATCAACTGGAAATATCTAGAAAAAAGAGCTAGTTCAGATTAAGTCTTTTATAAACTCCAAGTCTTTATCAGTGGTTCAGTTCAGTCGTGATTTTTTTTTGTTTTAATCATATGCAGTGATGCCATTCCCGATGTAGTTAAGCAAAAACAAGGCTCTGTCAGGGTTTATTTATTATTGAGAAATAGTCAGATTGGCCCAAAACAAGGCATCTCAATAGAATTGTTGTGACACCAGCTATACCTGTATCTACATTGCCTAGATGTGGCAAGCTTTTCTTGTGTATGGACTTCATTATACATATATGCAGAAGTGTTTGTGCATAAAGCAAGTGTGGATGCAAATGTCCACATGCTACTATAAATACCAAACAATGTATTACAAAAAGGTTTTTCCAATGAAAACTCTGAAAGAATCTTTTAGTATTACTTTTTTTAATCTTACAGTGGGTATTCTCTCTGACAGAGCACCTGAGATAGGGCTGCTTTAGTTTCCATTGTGATCCCCAGCCTGGAAATGCAAGGCTCTGGATGGGAGGGACAGCTCTGTCCCTCTCACATGCTTCGTGTTGCTCCTGCCTCTTGGCTTTTCAGAAATGTGTGTTTCCTACGTAGGTAGGGCTGACGTGCCATCTGTTGGGGGGATCAGCATCCCCAAGCCACAGCCCTGCAATGCTCCTAGACAATGCAGGAAATGTATGACTGGAATGTAGCGGCTTGCATTTGCATTTCTCACATTCAGCTTTGCTTCACACATTCCCCTCTCTCAGACACGATAAAGGCAGGGAACGCTCTATTTCTTGTCAGCATGGATGGATGGCACCCCTAGAAGAGTCTGCATTTGAAGCAATATGTTCTGCATCACTGACGTAAGCCAAGATGCTGGTAAGGCCGGGCAGGCTTGTTTTCCTATTCAGCGCTAGTGAGAGGGGCACTCGGGGACTTCGTGTCCTTGAATTTAAAGAAGATTGAAGTGTTGTATTGTTCAGAATGAAGGGGAAGAGGATGGGAGCAGAATGATGCTGCAGCAGACGGTAAACACTTGATTGCAAGAGCTGAATAGGCTTGGCCTACATTTTGAATCTCATCATGGTCTCTTTTATTTCACTCATTTGTACCCCCTGCTCTGCAGTCAGGCCCAGGTTTACTCCTGCTGTTTCTCTCACAGTTTTCTTCAGATCTGCAATGCTGAGAGGGCATCTTGGCAGAAGAGCAGCACATGCCCAAGCATTGTTTATGAATGAGGGATGCCAGGGTACTAGTGTACACAAGACAATTTCTCTCTGTCTATGTTAAGTCCTTTTAAGATTGAAAGTTGTCCTCATGAGATTCACCTAGTAATCTCTAAGCCTTCATTTCATATCATGTGGCAGGGCTGTAATGGTCAGTGTGCAGAAACGTTTCTGAATTTCTAAAAGAAAAAAATTATCTGTAGCAAGCCCTGTCCTTTCCCTTGCCCTACCCACCAAGCAAATCCATCACTCTCTCTTCATTTCCCATTCCACCTGGTGAAGGCATCAATGTAGTGAATGCTAACTAAGTACTGAACTCATTTGCAACTTGCCAGAGCCCCTTCTGTTATTGTTTATTTTCTGCTTACCTTGGAATAGCTAACAAACATGGAGTGAGGGGGGGTGGGGGGGTGGAGGGATGTAGGGGGTAACACTTGCAGAGAAAAGCCATAGTAGTTCCCAGCATAATTCCTTTAAATACCCAGTTTTTTGTCAAATCAGCCAGTGGAGACCAAGACATATGTAAAATTATAGTTAAAGTTAAGATGGGAAAAGAAAAATACTGGTGTTTTATATCTAGCTGATATTTGACAGGAATGACCAATACTGATTCTATGCAAATCTGAGTTCCTTGCTGGAGATGAAGGAAAGAAATGGAGACAAATTTGATGCAATACATTTGTAATAGAGAAAACAACTTTTTGATATATTCACAGGGCTTGTTATATTTTTCTCTAGCAAAGAAGCCTCTAGAACTTCAAATTATAGCTGGGTTTACAGATCTTTGAGGAACTTTTGAACCTTTGTCTCCTTGTCTCCTGTTCCATTGCATGAATGATTAGAATAGTAGCAAACAATTGTGACTTACACATCCTTTCACCCTTTATATACAAACCAAAATATTTTTTGTCAATTTATTCAATACCTTACAGTTGATTCCCAAGATATCTGGTAGATACATCCTTGGTTCTGATCATCCTTTAGAATGACATCTTGAAAATATATGAACTAAGATATGTTAATGTTTGATGCATATAAATGCATAAAACAGTATAAAGAATGATGTCTCCACTCTGAAAACAACAGCATTTGTCAACCTAATTTCAATCTAAATTTCAAACTAAATTACTAAACTAAACTAAAAACAAAACTATTTTCAAACTAAATTTCAATCCACAAGTTCTGTAGGATGGGTTTACAGCTAAATTTCCAACACCAATTCCTACAAATATTTCCCTGGTAATCACTGCCCCATTCACCATTGCCATTTGTTTGTGTTATATGCAGAATTTTGGAAAAAATTAAAATTAGCTCAGTATGGAGGCTAATAATTCAACTGCTCTCTGATTTTAATTTCATATGTCATTCAGGGACTGAAGGCACTGCAGTATTTGTATTTGGCAAAGCTGGAGAAACTCCGAGATATGCTTGTGTCCCTGTTAGTGCATTAACAATGAGAGGCTTCAGGCAGTGGCTGGGTGGGGTCTGACCTGTGGATGTGATGGCTCGCTCTGCTTACACCCTGGACAGATCCTGCTTATGGCTGTTCGGAGAAATATTCAAGTCTGCATCAAACAGTGTGACCATGAGCAGGCCTGAAGGATGGATCTGTGTGTGTGAGTGCCACCTTCCTCCCTGTGAGGTGCCCACTGAGATCAGAGACTGCAGCCCACCGTGTGACATTTCCTTTTGTGCCCTTTAATGCCCCCTGTAACTGTGCTCAGGGAGGGGAGGGCTTGAGGGGGGTGGTATGAGACCCAAGTGGTCCATGAGACCCAAGTGGTCCATGAGCCTCCTGCTAATCAAACAGCTGGAGAAACAAAGGAGAACTGATGGGCTGTAACTGGGACTGCTGCCCTTGGGACTAATCCCAAACACAACATCCAGACGTGGGTAGAGGAGGGTAGGGGTTGTCCTGAGGAGACCTCTAGAGAGGTGGCACTGGTGTGTGGCACTGTGTGGGTGAGCTCTGGACATTAGCCCCATGGCACAGATTGCTCAGTTGGCTCTCAGTGCTCTGGATTACGTGTGTCCTTCCAGCCCCTGGTGTGCAGGGGGTAATACCCTGCATGGTGATGACAGTGGGTAATATCCTACATCTGGTGGTGATCCCCACTGCAGAGAGCATGCAGGAGCTGTGCTCAGGGACCAGCAGCAGAGCAGGCTGGGGTGGGGAGAGACAGGGTTGAAGCATTTCTTTGTAGGTGACGTTACAAATAACCAAATCTATAGCTAAAGATCAGACCTTGTCCCAAAGAGACAGGACCTTTCCCTCCTCCCTTTGCTCTGCAAGGCAGCCTTCCAAAGGCCTCAAATTTGTTTCACTCTGTGTGTTCATTACTACTTTTTAATGACCGAATTCTCACTCAACCATGAAATAATTTAGGAAAAACTGCATTAAATAGCAGACTTGCTAAGTTAATAATTAAGGTATTTTCAAATATTATGGCTGGAAATTACCTTACTGTGCTGTCTGTGAAAACAGTGCAGAAGGCAGCAGGTTGCCTTGTGGAATATTTATTAAATACTTGCTGGTATTGGCTGAGGACTTGGACAAGTCCATGGCAATTGAGCACTGAGGGTGTTGGTATTGGTGGAGCAGCAGCTGGGGCTGATGTCACTCACACAGTGCTGGCAATGACATCCCCTGAACTGATGGTTTTGTCTTTTTCCTGTTTAATCGTGTCTCCCCTTAATTGTGTGTCTTATAAGAGGAAAGAGGGTGTCTTTTTTAAAGGGAAACTGGTGGCAGATGTGCTAGAAAGTCACTAAAACATCAATACCAAATGTCTTGTTCCTCTGCAGCCTAAACCTTGGGGCAGCTCACTTTCTTTATTCCCTCTGTCAGGAAAACTGGGAATGGGGCTGGTCAGGACATGGATGAGGAAGAAGCTTTGGCAAGAAAAAAGGTGTTTTGGTGAGACTAAATTGTTTAACAGAAATGGCAGGCTTTTGATGCATTTATGTTGGTTAAAGAGAAGAAAAACCTAAATAAATGTTTTGTTTGGGTTATTTTTATTTCAGAAAAGGAAATGAAAGTTTCACTTCTGAATGCTTATTTAAAAATTACTTCTCAATTTAATATTGACTACTGTCATTTTAGGAATGGGAAATAACTTAAAGAATCACAAAGAAAAAAAAATATATTTTTGTTAAATAGATATTGACAAACTGTTTTGCATAACCTGGTTTTCGGTAGCAGGTGGGCCACAAAGATGGCTTCTGGGAAAAGCTGCTGGAAGCTTCCACCATGTCCTGCAGAGGCAATCCCTGATGGCTCTGGAGATGGACATGCTGCTGGCCAAAACTGGGCCAATGAGAGAGGCTGGTAAAACCTTTGTGATGACATTTTTAAAAAGAAAATCAAAACAAAGTCACAAGCTCTGCTTGGGAGAGGCTGAAGAGTCACAGCACTGATGGCATCTGCCCACTTGGAGCTGTAGTAGACACTCTTCCAGCAGACCTGCCATGCCTGTAACTGGAGGTGTGTGTGCATGGGACCATGGATGCACCAGCAGGGAGTTGGAAATCTCACTGAAGGGGCTGGTGGCAGCAGTGTGGGACAGTCCCCTCTCACATCCCTGCTGCATCAGTCCATGGAAGAGTGGGGAAGGCATTAGGGAGGTGGTTTTTAGGTGTAGTTTTAAGATGTCAGTGGAGAAAAGTCTTTCACATGAGGCTATGCTGAGCCTAGCAGGGTTAACCTTAATCACAAAAGACATCCACACTGGAAGTGAAGATGCTGACAAGGTGTCGGTGAGATGTGATGTCAGGATGTGAAAGTTAAGGAATGGAGATGTGCAAGGGGACTACAGGCACTCATCTGGTTGTGTTTCTGTCAGGCTGGTTGTGGGGAGAGAAAGAGTTAACAGCTAAAATTATTTTATGGCCAGTACATGTGGTAAATAAGATTACTTACAATGGGATTAGCCTTGGACAGACTAAACCACTGATGAGTTCATCTTGGTCTGAGGCAATCCTGAAGCAATTGTAGTGCCAATGTACTACACTGGAGAGGATGTAAGTGGTTCTGGCTGTCCCAGCCTGCCCAGACCATGCCAGGAGGTGGTGGCTTCTCCTTTTGGGTGCAAAGACAGCTGCTGCAGGGAACAGGTGGCTGTGTGCAATGCTCCTCACTGTAGGAATGTGATGCCAATGGATGTAATGAGCTTCAAAGGATCATCTCCAGTGAAAACTGAGCGTGGTCAGAGCCGGAAATATTTGTGAGGTGCCACGTGCTGTGCCCAGCAATGGGAAGTTTGTCAGCAATGCTCTCAGTGCTGGGCAGGGGGGCACACGAGTGGACAATGGTGGGAGCTTTGGGTTTTGCCTGGGAGCAGCAGGAGGTGGGGCAGGCCGTGTGGAGCCCCTCCTGTGACCCAAGGGTCAGGCAGTGACCAGCACACTGGGATGGTGGCACCTGCTGTGGCCTGCAGCCCCCCAGGGGGGTACTGGCTGGAGGCACAGGAATGGATGTTTTCAGGGGCAGGGAAAGGAAATAATGCAGCCTTAAATAAATGCAGCTGGAACAAGACAACTGACAGCATGTGTTTGTGCTGTCCTTGAACAAACAGATTTTGTCTGAGATGGATTTAATTAGTTATGAGTTAAAGTAAAAATATACAGGGAATAGAAAAAAAAAACCTGGTGGCAAAGTAATTGGCTTCAGAGGAATAGTCCTGCATTTCCACATTACTTTCTCAGTGTGTTGCATACACACTTGCTTGCTTCTCTAGAGGGGCATCCCACAGCGAATAGCACCAAAAGGCATAAACCCAAACAGGGCCCAGACCTCTGCAGGGTAGACCTGGGGTGTTCCCACTGAAGGCACAGCACCACTAGGGAGAGCTGGACAAGGGCTGGACAAGAGCTGTGCACACCTGGCCTCAGACAGGCTTGTATTTACTGATGTATTCTGAGTCATCAATTCTGACATCCCACACACTTAAACCATCCATTAGATCTCTGTGGTCTTATCTTGGTGTAAATTAAATTAAAATCTGTCCACGTAGTGCTGTTGCAATGCAGAACTGATATGGTGGTGGTTTCATGTCAGCTCAGTGTTATCCATTCAGTCTGTCCCACTGGGAGTAGCTCAGATGTCTCCCATAGTCCAAGGTCTCTGCTACAGTAATGCACAAGGCAATGGCAAATGGCAAATGACCATAATTTTAGCAGACACAATTTACATTCCTACCCCTTGGACTCTTTATTTCCTTGGCCAAATCTCAATGTCATCCATCAACTTTTGATATTCAAAATCTAAATAAATTTGCTAATTTTTTCCAATCAAATATTAAATAGTTATTCTACTTTCAGTAATTAATCTTTTTAACACATTTAAATGATCTTTTAACAGAAGAAATATGACCTGGAAGTCTTTGAAACCAACCTACTCTTTTCTTTTCCTGTTGCTTTTCACTAAACACAATGTCTGTAGTGCCAGACTAAAATTATGCTGCTTAAACTTGATAAAGTACTACATCAACAACAAAAAAGGAAACTATGACAGAGAAATGAACAGAAAGCAAAAAACATTCATTGTACGCCAGGCAGTCTTTTCTTTTCCATCCCACATTATGCAGTGTGCAAACGTATCCAATTTGAAAAACTGACTCAGAGCAAACTGCTCGTGAGAGAGCGGGTGTGGAGGCAGACACAAAGCTGCTCACAGACCAGATTAAGTGAGGTTATTGCCAGCCCTCCCCCCAGCACATCAGAGGTTTAAGCAAGCTGTGTCCTCCAGGGCAGTGGAGGCTGGCCAGGGTCCCCCCCCGAGCCCCCTCAGCTGTACCTGCCTCAGCCCAGGGCTGGGTGGGCATCGTTTGTTTGAGGGCTGCCAGAAATAGAGATGAACTAGATGGAGCAGTTCAGCATATTAAATTGTCTCTGTGAAATTGAGAGTGAGCATATGAAGAGGGAGATTGGTATTTGCTGTATTTCTCTTTCTCAGAAACACTATTAGTGATCTCCCACTTCAGCACTTCACTTGTTGGTTAGTCCCCATTCTCCAAATGCCACTATGTCACAGAGGGAACATCAGCCCAGAAATAATTAGTATGGCAATTTGGCACTCACTCTTCAAATTACATCTAGCAGTTGCATGTAAAATTGTCTGTAGAAATCATCTGGCTCTTACCAAGAGTTAGTTTAATAATGGAGTTTGTTTTGCTACCGCCACTATTATGTTGAAGTCTGGTGGTTAAAAATTGTTTTCCTCTCTTGGTGATGGAAACATCTTCTAGCAAAAGCAAGAGAAACTAAGCCTTTTCTGTTTTGCTGGAATGAGGAGTCCTGACCTAATCTCTCTTCAAAATATAAGTGCTGATTGTGGCTCTCTGGGGAGACCCACCCAAATGTTGGATTTCATACACATTATAGACTATTGCAACTCTTCCTCTTACCACTAATCAACTATCAATTGGTGCAGAGACAATCGTAAGACCTCCTACTTCTTATGTGACTACTAAGCCTAAACTGGGCTATAATTTTCCTGGTACAGAGGAAAGGTAGCAGGAAAGACTGAAATACAACACTCCACACCTAGAGAGGAACCAGCTTTTCATTCAAGAAGATCCAATGCCCTCAACTTGAATGTTACTCACCTCCATGTTTAATGGATATTTTCATGACACTTATGAGAGAAATGCAGAGTATATTTTTCTTTCTGCCAAAAACCCCCCGTCCTGAACCTGAGAAAACTTCTTCAGCAAAACTGGGGGTTTTGCCCCAGCAGGAACAGTCCCCTGAAAATGTCCCTGTCCAGCACGTCAGCATCATCCCAGCAGCAATATTTTGTCCAGCCTTCAGCAGATTACTAAGTGACTTAGCAATCAGCCTTTCCCATGACAGCAGGAGGTTCTGCAGCAGACCTTGCAGGTGGGATTTTAAGAGCAGGAATAATAGATAATGATGGGGCTATGTCAAAGGAAAATACAACATCCCTATAATGTGGACATTACAGGATTTCTGAAGCTGCTTTCAAAATGGGTCCAAAGAATATATCCAGCAGTGCAGGGCCTCTGGAAAAAGAAAACTAGCAGCCAGTGTACTAGATGGAGAACAGTAAACAAAAAGGAATGGGGTGGTTTGTGTGTGCATGTGTTTTTGTGCTCATGCCTCTTGGGCTTTGCACACCCCCAGGAGCTGTTAGAGGACAGCAGGTACTGCCCATCAGCTGATTCTCTGCAGCTGGACACACACACATCACTCGTGAATGCCAGACAGTGCAGGTTGGTTTGGACACCTTTCCTTAGTCACAGGCTTAGTCTGTCACTATGCCCTTGGTGACACAGATGTTATGTAGTTTTGAACATGTGGAATAATGAAAAGCTATAAATGCACACTGTGATTATGTCTTCACGTGGCAGGTTCTTTGGCTGTGTGCTCCATGGCTCCTCCTTAGATTTAATGTGTTGCATTTCTCCTATGAATTAAAAGTAATTGAGCCTGCTATAATGACAGCTGTGTGGCCAAGGAGCTGGGTGGGGAGGGACAGAGGAAGGTGTGATTTTCACTGTCCACTTATTTGTTGGTGTTAGTGCTTGCTTGAACTGCAGTGCAATTAACCAAACACCTAATGCTTATGCATTAGGGCACCTGATGGTGTTTGTAATGGTACTAAGTTATGAGCACTCATGGAATGGGGTGTTGTTCTAATTGTCATACTCTTCTTTTGGCAGTCTTTAAGTCCCATTGGGTTAGTAGCTCCTATAATGATTATGACTGTCAAATTAAGCCATCTGTAAACACTAAAACTTGCAAGCTCTTACCAAATTCACAGCACTCATGCCTGGAAATAAGTTCTGCATCTTTTCAGCTCTCCATCATGAAAATTCTTAAATGGTTGGCATGGGCCTCAGTCCCTTTCTCCCAGAGCATCCTCTCCCTGTGCTGTCCCAGCCAGTGTCTCCACCCTGCTGCTGTGGGGGAGGTAGCAGGCATGGCCACGCATGGCTGGGTGTGCTCTGCCTGCACGGTGTCAAGAGGCTACCCTGAGTGGCAGTGCCTAATTTATGGCTCTAAGCTAGTCACAATGAGTTACAGCCTTCCCAGCAGGGAGCTACCCCCCTTGGAACTCATGGATTTAACATCTTGAACACAAAGCAGTGACTTCCATGTCAGAAACCAAACAGGAATGAAAGGCTGGGCTCACAGGGTGCTGTTCATCCTTATGTCTTGCAGCAACCATGGAAAATGCTACAGAGGCTGCTGAGAGTGGTGTCACCAAGGAAATCTCCCTTGTAGCTGTCTGCAGGCAGCCATGGGCTGTGTCCCTGGTGCCCTGCAGCAGTGACAAGCTTCTCTGCTCATCTCCAGTGCCAGCCCACCTTCATCTAGAGAGGGCTCCTGTTGGTAAGCATGATGTGTCACCCACTGTGCAAACCAAAGGTGCAGTGTACTAACACCTGGTGTGTTGCTCACACTGTACCAGCAATGTTAAATGACTCCAGGCTGCTCTTCCAGTGCATGGACAGGCCAGGACAGAACTACTGAGGAGAGGAGGGAGAAACCCAGCCTCACAGATGGGCTGTTGGATTTCTTTGTTTTCGGCCACATTTAAAGGATCGGCTGGCTGATGTTAGGGCCTTCCCTGTGCGAAAGCTGGGTCAGAGAAATCTGGGATGTGTCATAGGAACTTTAAGTGGTGAGATTTTGCTTGCTGTTGTCACCATGGCACGGCTGGCTGAGCAGCTCAGAGCCTGCTGTGAGACAGGGCTGGGGGCTTGGCTCGAAAGAAGCAGAGCTCGGGCCAGTGGTGTTGGCTGCCTGCCGAGGGTTAGCAGGACAGAGGGACTCATTGAGATATCCTGCCCTGAGACAGCTCAGGGCTTTGAAAATGCTTTAGGTGACCTTAATTTTGATTTGGGGTGTGCAGTAATGAGTAAATGGTGTGATGAATGCGTAAAGCTGACAGAAGGCACTGGTTTCTGTAAAGAAATAGATATGCAAGGTCAGGAAAGGTGTGCAGGATAAAGTGATTTCAGAGGCAGTGAGCATGCCAGGCTGACTCATGAGCTGAACTGTGCAATAATCACAGGTAATTATTGCACGCCAGCCAGAAGAAGGATTTGCATACACACCACGCTGGACCACAAGGCCCATTTGGGCTCTGGCACACTCCACTTACAGAGCAGACAGGCAGAGAGATGAGAAGCCATTTCCAAACAGAGCCAATATTCTGCTTGTTTCCTCATCCAGCTTCCAGACATGACATTGAGCCACGATGTGCAAAAGGGAGGAGACAGGGAGCTGCTGTCTTCAGAGTAATGAAGGGTAGATCTGTGCCTGTATTCACCCCCTGAAAACATGTCTGCACTACAGGAATGTGCTTCTGAATCTACAGTGAGGAATTCTCTTGTAAGCCAATATATTTTTTAATGAAATAAAAACAATGGAAATCCGGAAAAATAATGAAGCCCTGTTGGACAGGACCTCTCAGGCTACACAGGCTGTGGCTTACCAGCTAAGGGGCAAGCTAACACACCTGCCTGGGTCTCTTGTAACAGAGAAATCCCAAGGGAGTCTTATCATTCCAGTGGGCAGGTTTTGAGGCTGTGTACTTGCAATAGGAAAATAACCACAGTACCTCCACTCTGATGCCATTAGGGCCCTTGTATGATTTGGGTTTAATGTCCCCTTCCTCTTCCTTGTCCTTTCCCAAATCCGTGGCTGGCTTGGTGCTGATGGCAGTGAGGGTACGTTCTGGTGTGCAAAGACACAGCATAGATGAATTATATCCCAGAGTGGCTCTCTGAGTGCAGAGAAAAGCACAGATTTTCTGTGTGCCTGTGAACAGACTCCTTGAAAGCAGAGCAGATGTACAAGTTTCGTGGTGAAGAGCAGGTAAAAGTTCTCATGTCCTGGGTAGGGGCTGCTGGAAACTCCTGCCTGCTGTTCCTTCTGTCCCCATAGTGCAGCTGCCAAAACCAGCAGTTACAGACAGCGTGGATCTTAGGGGTACATCCATCACTACCTCTAACGCCATTTCTCTCCCCAGCTGGGCTTTAAGATCTGTCTGCTGCAGGCATGTTCTTTTGGAGATAGTTTTGGAGATAGTTTTGGAGGTAACCAGCCTTTATCAGTGTCTAACGTGACATGATTAGAAGGAGAAACTTAACTGTAATCAATAATTAGCATCTGTCTGGACAGATATGAAATGTGCAATATATAAAGCCGATATATATACACACTCACAAAGTATTGCAGACAAGTACCTATACAGCACTGTTTACATGCCTAATATTTTTTGCAGCAAAATACCACTTCAGATTAAGTAATACCAAATTGTACTCTTGACAATAATATAGATATTTCCAATTTATTTTTAACTTTATCTGGCTAATTCAGACACACTTGGGTAGCAGTAATACGTCTCTTCCTCTTCCTCTTCTCATGCTGTTTCTATTCTGGTACCCAGGGTCTCTCTGGCAATAGCTCTGCTTCCCATTCCATGTTTCCCGTTGGGAAGCTGGAATACACTGTCATTGGTATCGCAGCACCCGACTGCGTGCTGCTATTCAAATGGGACAAAAGGAAACGCTGCTCAGTCCCGGGAGCTGTGGGGAAATGACCATCGCTAAATGATTGACTGGAACTCCTGCTGGCGCTGCGAGCGGGCTCTGGGGACGCGATGGGCCGCGTCGTGTTCCGCCTTTTGCCTCTGCCTGAGATGTGAACCCCGGCGACCTGCGGAATGGACCCGACCTGCCCTGCCCTGCCTGCCCTGCCCTGCCCTGCCCTGCCCTGCCTGCCCTGCCCTGTCCTGCCCTGCCCTGCCCTGCCCTGCCCTGCCTGCCCTGCCCTGCCCTGCCCTGCCTGCTCTGCCCTGCCCTGCCCAGCCCTGCCCTGCCTGCCCTGCCTGCCCCAGCCCTGCCTGCCCTGCCCTGCTCTACCCTGTCCTGCCCTGCCCTGCCCTGCCCAGCCCAGCCCTGCCCTGTCCTGCCCTGCCCTGCCCTGCCCTGCCTGCAGCCGGTGGGGCTGAGCTGCGCCTCTGGGTCCCACTGGCTTAGCCACAAAAGGCTTGCCCAGACGGGCAGGGGCACGGGCATTCACACCACCAAGGGAACAGGGAGAGGAAGGCCAGGCCAGGCTCCTGGTTGGTTCAAAACACACAGGGTTTTAAAATACATTTTTCTTTGTGGCTGGACAAAAGGAATTTCGGTGACTTGCAGCTAAGGGTATCCCCCAAATCACTCCATCCCATTTGTTCGATCTATAAAGTACCCAACTGTCATTTTTAATGCATGCCAAGTTCTAGCAAAAGATAGAATTTTTTTGGGGGGGAAAAAAAAGAGTAATTTATATTAATTCTTGTACCAGTATTAACCTCTGTGTGGGGTAAAAAGCATCAGTGCAAGGTTTTTGAAGCCACATGCTCTGTTAGCCATTACATGATTTGATGTTCTGGCTAAACTTACACCAGATGACAAGTTTCCCAAAACCAAATGATGCAAAGGCTAAACATCACCATGACATGTAGCAGTCCAAACGCTTAGCCTACAGCATCACAGCATGTAAAATGAACTTAGTCCTGTGCTACTCCTACTCGGAGGATGCTTTCCATATACAAAGAGAAACAAAGGCGTGAGGAGACTATTGCACCAGCACAATCTGCAATGTGCACAGCGCCTCTGCTGAGGCTTTTTCTGTCCAGGGTATTTCTTTCACCTTGCCAGCTACATAACTTTCTCCTTCTGTATATTTGGGCATTTTTTAGACAATGATTGCCTAGGAGGCAGCACTTAAAATTTAATTCAGGTAGGGAAGGCAGTGCACGTGAATGATACTGACTCTACTAGCCCTTGTAGACTATATGATTTATGCATTCACTCAAACAGCACTGAATGAACAATATTATAGCAGGCAATATGCCATTGTGCTGTTACTTCTATGCCTTGTATTTTTAATTAAGGAATTTATACCTTCGAAGTTAATTAACTCATTTCTCAAAATCATTTACACATCTGCTCTGTTTCCAGTAAAACTTAGTTTCTTAACTTCTGAGTTACATTAAAAACAAAACAAAACAAAATTGAACCCCTCTTTATATCAGACACGTTACTTCATTTGTGATGAGTTCAGATGTGAAATTGCTAATAATGATAAATTTCCACGGGCTGAAATTTGGTGTGTCATTTTGCACTGGTAGCTGCTGGAAGGAGAGTCAGATAAGCAATGGCCATGAGCCTCTGTTGTACTGAGTGTCCCATCACTGCTGCAAAGCAGGCTCAGTTTGGGATGTCTCTGCTGTGTGCCAGGGCCCTTCCTGTCGCTGGCAGACAGCAGCTGGAGCTGAGGGCATCTCCAGTTCCTGGCTACACCTCTGTCACCACAGCCCCATGGCCGCCTGGCACAGCACGTTACAAAGAGCTTTTCCAGCTGACTGTGTGGCCTGTTTTGGTTACTGCTGGCCAAACCCCTGGCTGCCAAGGGGAGGGCTGGATGTTGGGTCTCAGCCAAGCCCCACTTCATCCCAGGCCTCTGCAGCGCTGTGGAGCAGGCATAAGCACAGCACTGGGAATGGCAGCACTTCAGAAGAGCAGTGCGGGCAGGGCTGTCACTGCCCTTACTGTGCCACACACAGGGAGCAACCCTCCTTCTTTCTGCTGATGGGCAGACATATTATTTTAATTAAACTATTATTTTAATAACCCTTACAGTGTGTGGGCAGGGCTTGGGAAGCATTAAACCCAAAGTAAACAAAGAGTGTAGCACTCCATCTGCTTTTAACAGCAACCCGACTGTTTGGGCAGCACACAGAGCTGAGTACTGTTAGTATTTACTGTAGAACACCTCATGCCAAATTTAGCCTACAAGCTGATCACAGGTTTCATTATTTCAAGCGATTTATTATTTTCTGATGTGAAGAACACCTCTTCTCTGCACCAAATGCTGCTTGTGAAGTCTGCTTTTCCACTTAAGGGATGCTAAGCAGAAGCTAACCAATGAAATGAAGGTAAATTTAATTACAAAAACCATAACGTTCTTCAAAACCAACAGCTCACTCTCTCTCCAACAAGGAAAAATACAAATAGAAGCCCTTTGGCAATGCTGAAGAAATATCTGGGGCTGAGGTGAAAGGGGCACAGCTTGACAAGTATGCTGAAAGCTGAATGTGGATTACCCGTGAGTGCAAAAATGAATAAATGTGTTTTATTCCATTATATTAATGAAATGGTTAATTCGGTTGCTATAGCAACAAGGAACAGCCATGCTAAAAAGCTAAAGGGCCATACATAATGCCAGATACAAGGTCTCTCTAATTCTAAAGCTGATTTTCTTAGCCACAATACCAGTGATGTGTATTTTCAATATCATCAGCTTTTGCATCAAATCCTCAAGCCAATCCAATAAACAGGCTAGTAGCATAAAACAGCATATATGCTGGCACCTCATAAAATTTACAAAAGGGGTTTACCTATGCACAGTTCTATGGAAAGATCCACAGAGTGCAGTGTGGGACGCTTTAAGAGACTGCTGTGTGTGTGATGGTGAGGCAGCAAGTGTGGTACAATGGACAGCTCCTACAGTCAGAGAGCAGGTGCCCGCAGGGGCAACCACTGAGCACTAGCCCAGACACCTTCCTGATAGCTATTTCACCTTATGGAAAACAGACTTTATGTTCTTTTCACCTGCATTTCATGTGATTTTGATTAAAAATAATAATTCCATAAGGTTTCAATGAAGAATCCTGCAGTGTTTTCTTTTGTTTAACATGAAACCCCATGGTCTTGCCAACAGCCAGAGGACAGGCTACAATTACTGAAGCCTATGCAAAGGCAAGAGGAGTGCTCACACCGCCCTTCAGAGGAGCCTGGGGCAGGGCTCCCTGGGAAAGGAGCTGCTGGGGAGGGTCACAGCACTGCCCAGCCCCAATGCTTCCACCAGGCTGGAGCCCTTCACCAGGCACGGGACCACTTCCATTCCTTTGGCTCCCTTTTCTTACGGTGAGATTTATCAAACACCACGTCACTCACTCTGCCTGTGACAAATAAAAGTCAATACAGCACACTCACAGGAGAAACAGAATTCACTGGCTCCCCTTGTTGAACTCAGACTTAAAAATTCGGCCTCATACACTGGAACAAGCAACATGGGTGACTTTTATCTGCAGGCCATCTGGTTTGCATGAGATTGACAGTTATGTTCCTGAGAAACATAATTTCTCAACAATTGAATGTAAAGCTTTCAGTGCTGAGGCCTAAAACTCCCTGCAACAGGCAGAAGTAACAGCTGTGATGGTAAGTAGTCTCTAGACTAAACAGGTGAGAACAATGTCCTTTAGGATGATAATTAGCTCCAGTCAGTGGCATGCGATTCTAATCAGCAATTGTGAGTGTGAGCTGTCACTGGAGGCATTTGACACTGCTTGCCTCTTGCTGAAATGCAATAAAAGAGAGCTCACCACTGGAGGCAGAAACACTGAGGAGCAACCTGAACTGTATCACTACGCTGAAGTAAAATGTTTGGTCTTACAAAAAGGTAAGGCAGATCAATGGTTGCCACTGTTTTAGTCAACTTGTATGAAAATAATTTATTAAGATTCTCCTAACCTTACACAGTACCTCAAAACCAGATGAGAAACAGCTTTAAACTGCTGCCCTTAAGGGTCCTGGTTGCCAGCATATGTGGAAAGCCCATGCAGTGCAGACAGACGAGTTGTGTGGTTTGGGCCAGCTCTAGGAGGTGATGCTGCAGTGGCCCTGCAGGGAAGGCCCTGCCGTGAGGTGCAAAGGCAGCTCTCTGCAGAGCACAAGGAATCTGCCTGCACCTATTGCATTGCAGTGCTGAGGGTGCATGGGCGGGTTGGTATTTCTGCAGCACCACAAGAAACCCCAGTAGTTCAGAGGTTTGTTAGCATTTGTCAAGGGATAGATAAACTGAAGGGCTGCAGTGTTCAGCTGCTGAGCAGAAAGGACTTTGTTCTGCTCAGGGTTGAGTCCAAGCTAATTCCCATACGCTGCCCCAGCATCCAGGTAGGTGTGCCATGGGAAAGCTTAATAACTTGCAGTTCTTTTACAGAAAAGGAACAATTGCATTTCCTTTTGGTAGCTTTAGTGTGCTTGAGCTAGAAATGGGGAGAGTGGCTTTCTTTGTGCAGTGGTGGTAAGTGTTCGCTTGCCAAGTTTTACGTCCAGCTTCACTGCTTGATAGCAATGAGAAGATCTGCTCCCACATCACAAAAATTATGATGGACAGATTCAGACCTGCAAAAAAGAAGGGATAAAAGCAGGATGTCTACTCCTGGGCAAGGCAAGCGTGGACGTTTGCACAAGATCCAGCAGACTAACCTGAAGAAGAGTTATTAAAAATTGATCTCCTGGAGTAACAACTGGAAAGATTAGTTTCTCAGAAAAGAAAGGAAATGGCAACAGCAGAAACAAAGCAACCCAGATGGCCCATAAGCAGACTAATTATATGACAGACCCAGAAGCAACTCTGAAGTTACCAATCCAGCTGCCGAGAGCGTCTGCCAGCTTGCCAGATGTTGCCAATGAAAACCTATCTTCCACAGTTCATCAAAGAAGTAGAGCTGCCTGGTGAAGTGAAACCTCTGCCAATAAAATAAATATTTTATCTAAAAAATATTTTCTACTAGGAATCGTTGAAAAATATGAAATTTTAACAACATGCCCAACCTGATGTTACAGTAGATAAATAATGAAACATACTTACAGAATGC